TAGGGCTTGTAAACCCCCTTTCCCAGGGGGTGGACACTTATTCCAAAGTATCTCCCAGATTCTACAAATTGTCACAATCTAGAAATGTCTCCTGTTGTATTCAGCTGATTATAGATCTAGATGCTGATTGGATGTAGGATCTTGTGTGTAGGGGCCCAATAGTTTGCTTTAGGAATGAATGCTTTGCTGGGGAGGTCCACTGGGATGTTTGCTGCTGATATGGTCACTCTGCTAGAGTGACTCTCTTCTTTCTGAATGTCTAGATCTGTGCCTGTCCAGGCCAGGATTTTCTTCTAGCTGGTGTCTACCCTCGGCCATTCAGTGTATCTACATATCAGCAGGGAAAATCTTAGACTTCTCCATTTTTTCACTCCATAACTTTATGGGCAAGGCACAGATATACTCTATCAGTAGAGCCGTCTACAGTTCTTTTTAAGGTAACTAGTTAGGGCTCTTCTCCTTTTATCACATATCCATCCACTTAAGAGGCCAATTCAGAGCTTAAAAATTTCATCCTGATCTCATCTTTCTCTTTTAGAATTTTTGGTTTTATTTATTTTTTTTTAAATTTTTTTAAAGTTTTTATTAGTTGGAGGCTAATTACTTTACAATATTGTAGTGGTTTTTGTCATACATTGACATGAATCAGCCATGGATATACATGTATTCCCCATCCCGATCCCCCCTCCCACCTAATATTAGTTCATTTTGGTAAGAGAGGAAAATTTAAAAATTAATAATCACTGTGAATAACCTCTACAAAAATTTTAATGTATCTTTTTTCACTGTTTTTTTAATGAGTGCAAACACACACACACACCTTAAGACATACATGCAGTGTAAATAATAATTATACTAAAATAGATTTAGCAATTATCATGAGCTAGGAGTTCTTTTAGGCATTTTATATGCATTTGGTATTCACAGCAACCATATGAGTTTACGTGGAGGGAACTGCTGTTTTTGTTTTTGCCTGCAGGCATCCATATCCCCTACTCTATCCACATGGGGCAACCATTGCATGATTTCAACTTGGGTTTACAGTCCTGGTAGGGCAGCCATTCTAGGCACTTTATCTTCCTCTGGCAAAGGATTGGATAAATATGTCATGATAGACCCACTAGATGCTCCTTCTCCAACTTGAATCTTGAATAAAATGACTCAAAAAGACTTGAAACCATTTTTATTATATTCATCTGGGTGGCACTCTCCTGAAAAGACTTGTTATAACTTTTGCAACCTAGATCTGATAAGCTGCTCTGAGACCTGCCCTTTCCCATGTGGAGTTCTTCAGATTTTTTCTCTGAATCCATGAGATTTTGTACCCTTGAAATAACATTTTAATAGTTACCAGGTTAAATTTCACCCACTTAACAACAAAAAATCCCTAATCAATGTATAAATGTACAGAAACATATACGTATTATTTGAGTTTACAAAGATTGAAATTAGGGATTACTGAAATTAAGTGACTTGTCCAAGATCATCCAGGAAGTAAGTCGCATCAGGTATCTAGAATACAAGTTTGAACTTAATTAAAAAAAAAATTTTATTGGCATATAGTTGATTTATAGTGTTCTGTTAGTTTCAGTATACAGCCAAGTGAATCAGTTACACATATACATATATCCACTCTTTTAGAGTCTTTTCCCATATAACCTTTACAAAATACTGAGTAGCGCTCCCTATGCTATACAGCAGGTTATTATTAGTTATCTGTTTTACATATAGTAGTGAGTTTATGTCAATCCCAATCTCCCAATTTATTGCTGCCCCCTTATTCCCTGGTAACCATAAATTTGTTTCCTATATGTGACTGTACTTCTGTTTTATAAATAAGTTCATTTGTATCCTATTGTTTTTAGATTTCACATATAAGTGATACCATATGATGTTTATCTTTCTGTGTCTAACTTACTTCATTGAGTATGACAATCTCTAGGTCAATCCATGTTGCTGAAAATAGCATTATTTCATGCTTTTTATGGCTGAGTAATATTCCATTGTATGTATGTACCACATCTTTTTTATCCATTCTTCTGTTGATGGACATTAGGTTGCTTCCATGTCCTGGCTATTGTAAACAGTGCTGCAATGAACATTAGGGTCCATGAAGCTTTTCAATTTATGGTTTTCTCCCAGTATATGCCCAGGAGTGGGATTGCTAGATCATAGGCATAATTATAATCAACTTTCTTTTCAATCTCTCTCTGTTCAAACACTTAGGAGTGGTGTGTGTGTGTGTGTGTGTGTGTGTGTGTGTTTGCATTCTTATATGTATTCTTTCACAGTTGAGATCTAACCATATTCAAAATTTTAATTATTTTCAGTTCTTTAGTTTGTCTAATGATAAAAGTCACTGTAGAAGATTTCAAAATTATTGTCAAGTACAAAGAGGTAAAACTTACCAATTATTCCCAAACCTGGATATTATCATTATATTACTATTCATCTCTCTCTCTCAAGAGAGCCACACTGTATGTACAGATTTAAATCATCACTTTTTAATTTTAATATTATTTTGTAAGCATTTTCCTGAGCAATTAAACTTCTTTCAAATTATTTTAAGAGCTACTATATATTTTATTGTATGGATATATCATAATGCAGTTAATCATTCCTCTTTCAGATATTTAATGGCTGTTTCTTTTTTCTGCTTTGATAAATAGCACTGCAATCAACAACTTTGTTGGCATCTGATTATTTTCTTAGAATAGATTCTGGAAGTAAAATTGACTTAAAGGCTTGAACATTTTAAAGATTCTTAATAGCCTCAAAAACTTTTCAGAAGATTGTATCAATTTATAATTCCATTGCTAGTGTTTAAAAGTTAGTTTCATCCAATTCTCCAAATATGGGTGCTGATTTTTAGAAATGAATGCCAACAGTTGGAAAATAACAGCCTACATTGTTTTAGGCATTTCTTTTAACATCTTTTTTTTTTTTTCCTGGCCCAATGTATTGCAAAATAATCTTATAATTAAAAACACAAAATTTTCCTAAAATGCTTGTTCTAGTTGTATATGAAAGTGCACTTTTTTCAACATTATTTTGTATTGTTTTATTTCAATGATTAATGTTTTACACTTTTCTAACTTTTCAAATTTGAAATATTTCTTTAAATTCACAATCATGTCCTTCACATATTAATATTTTCCTATTGAATCTAGTATCATGAAGAGAACTGGGCATCTATTCTCTGATTGTATAGATCCCAGAAAGATAACTCAATTGCCTCTCAGTTGCCCCTTCTTAAATATTCCCAGTAGTCACTAATGTGGCTCTTAGTGACATGTTCTCATACACTTCTAAGCATATATGTGATTGCAGTAACTCATATTTGCAAAAGAGTTTTTCATTCATAAAAATCTTCCAGATCCATTATCATTTTTGCCCTTATGAGGTATCCAGGGGAGGTTAGTGTCATTCTCATCATTTTAGGAAGGTGGAGGTTAGGTTCCACACGAGAAAGCTGTCAACATTGCCAGTGAAGAGTAAAGTCAAGACCCAGACCAGGTCTTCAATTCCTAGATCTTTTACTTTTCATCAAATCATATCACTAGTGTTGCTAGTGTACAGAAGTAAAAAATGACTCCACACAGTGTAAGAAAGTCCTGTAATAATGTTAAGGGACTCAATAGCAAATGCATGTACTCTATTTTTAGAATGAGACTGATTTAAATTGGGGGGCTTTTAATTGCAGTGACCAGTTTTAAACATTCAATGTCGAAACATAAAGAGGCAATAATATAAATGAGCCAGCTGCATTTTTACACAGAGCATGAACTGATGAGTTTATGAATGAATGATGAAAATCAAGCAAGTAATAATATTCCAGGCCAATTCAATAGCCTAAATTATGTATCAGTCAGTACCTTAGTTTCCAATATACACCTCCCCTCCCCCATGAACATTTTGAGAAAAGACAAGTTTTCAACCGCTCTAGAAACATAAGAAGCATTGTACATTGATATCTTTCATATTTTTTGAAAACGAAAAGATCATTTTTCATTTTCCTATCTGAAAATGGCCTTCCCTTTTGCCTCATTTAAAATAAAATTGTCCATGGTTTTGTGATCTTGTGAGAGCTTATTTGATTTAAGCAGCTTTATAGTATTTTACCCCATAGGAAAAATTTTCTTTGCCATATCTGTAAACTAAAATATCCTTTTCTAACGAGCGCATAGAACATTAGCTCTCCCTCTCTGGATGGTTTTTATTCACTAGTAGGATCTATCTCTGAAGACGCTGTGGAAGCAGGCTGTCGGTCTTCACAGGTGTAGCCAGGAGCTGCCCTATTCGCATGGAGGCGGGAAGATGCCTGGTTTCTCCTACACATTCCTAGGCCCCCGTGGCCACTTCTGCCCTTGGTGCTACGCGATAGTCGACCTCACTAACGCCCCGTCGCGCACGCGCACTCACTGCCCCCCGCCCTAACTGCACCTGCCAGGTCATAAACCCCTTCCCACCCGCTCTAGCTCTCACTAGAAGGCTCAGTCTTGTCTCACGTTGATTGGTCGAAATCCAAGAGAGTGCGTCCAATCAGCAATCCCTCCTGCTCAACCAATTCCCGCTCTTCCCGCCCCCTCCCCGCCCCACCCATCCCTCTCAGGCACCTATCTTCTTTGTGACTGGTGCGCGCCCAGGTCACTCAGTGCGGCAGGCAGAGGTGTGCCGGAGTGGGAAGGAGGGGTGGGAAGGAGGGGCGGGAGGAGGGCGGGGAGGGGCGGGGAAGGGAGGGGGCGGGGCTCAGGTGCCGTGCGGCGCAGTCCGGGCCAGAAGCGGGAGGGGGCGAATTGCGGAGCGGGGCGGGGGCTGCGGCGAGGAGGGCGTTACGCCGGCGACGTCGGCCGCGCGAGGCTTCGCGCGTGAGCGGCGTGGGCACTGGGCCTGGCTACCGAGGTTTCCTGGCGGGCGAGCAGGTCCTCTACGCCGGCTCCTGGGGGAGCGCGGGGAGGGAGGTGTCGGCGTCAGCGGTGTAGTCGACGGCGGTCCTGGCCATGGAAGAGACGCAGCCGCTTCCGCAGTCCGAGCTGGCGCTGTGCGACAGCCTCATCATCTGGGTGAGTGCGAGGGGGCGAGGGGGGCCGAGGGGCCGCGGCGAGTTCCTGGGGCAGGGGGGTGCCTGGTTCTCGCAGGTGAGCCAGCCGAGGAGCGAGGGTCACCTGCGCCCCGGACTCCGCTCATTGCCCTCCGCGTCTCCGGTCGCCCTTGACCTCGAGAGTGCCCCCTGCGGGTCGCGGGGCAGGTGTGCGTAGGTGAGTGTGTGTGGTACCTGTGTTTCTGTCTTCGAGAGGGGGAGGGGGGAGCGGGAAGGAGGACACTCGTCTTACCGCCCTGATCATGCTCCTGACAGCTGTGGCGGGAGCCCAGCGCCCATCCGTTTACTCCCAGCTGGGCCATTTGCTCCCCTCTGCTCTGCGCCCAGGCCCTAGACTTTCTGGACCACCGACACCCTTGCCTTCCGTCTGCAGAACAGCCTTCTCATAGAGACCTTTATGCTACTTGGGAGTGAAGACCCCCCTCTGAAACCTCCCTCCCACTGCAACAACCTAGCTCTACTTTGGACGCAGGTGGCAAAGAAGTGGTTTTAGTTCATGCGTCAGGGCTTCTCCTGGACCCCAGGACATCCGTTTTTGTAGAAACCTTTTAGAAGAGATGTTTCCACGTACATATATACTGCGTGGATCAGAAGATATATTGGGAGTGGGGCGCTCGTATTCTCTCTTTCTCACTGGTTCCCCTCCTCTTCCAATGGACAAGCATTTTCTTTAAAGAAAAAAAAAAAACTTGGCATTTTCGTTTGCACTTTATCTGCACTTGGTAGTCCTATTAATTTATGTTGGGTTTGGACAGACAGGATCTGTCCTCAGTAATGTGATCAACAGAAGTGTCTCACCTTTTGGAAGTGCTCAGCGATCGGAAAGAGCTGACATTCAGGTGTGGCTTCTAATCCATATTGGGCAAGTTTGACGCTCCATGGTCCACAAGGTGCAGTCAGTGATGCTCACCCCAAAGCAGCTGTTTAGTTTTGTGTCGCGGAGTGTGTGTAGAATGGAATGTAACAGACTAGATTAGGAGGCAGTAATTGATGAGTTTCTCTAGCTCTCAATGCATGTAATTCAAAAGAAGGAGAAATCAGGGAACGTTTCTGGCAGTATGTGAAGTCTCTTGTAAAGAACCACAATGTAAAGCTACCTTTACACTTTGGAGGTAAATAGTTTTTGCTCCAAGTAAAATGCAAGCATCTGGAGTTTCTGAGTGAAAAGCAATTAACTAACCATTCACCCATATTTTCACTTAAAATTAGTATGGGATTTAGATGCCATATTTAAGGTTGCCATGAAACAAGGCAGTTACTTCTAATGGTGTGGTTTAGTAAATGACTAATTAAAGGGTGTTTCCTAATCTGTTGCATTGTTGCTCTAAACATCTGACTTATATAGTAAACTTAGTCTTTATGATGTCATTGACTCATATGAAGGTTGGTGGTGAAGTATAAGATTTTCACGAATTTTATTTAAAATATTTAAAATATTTTGTGACTATATCCATTCTTTTAATCAGTATTAATAGTGAAGTTCCTACTTTGTATAAGACACTGAGGAAGAAAGATATCAAGAATAATCAAAGAATCTTCCATTGTAATTGGTGTGGTAGGTAGATCTGTGTATTTTTTATAATGGAAGGCAAAATTCCTTAAAAACAGTAAAATTTTTATTTTTTTTCGGCCATGCCATTCAGCATATAGGATCTTTGTTCCCCCACCAGGGATGGGATTGAACCCATGCCCCCTGCCTTGGGAGTGCAGAGTCTTAACCACTAGACCTCCAGGGAAGTCCCATGTAAAAAAATTATTTAAAACATAAGGAATGATAATAGATTACAGAGTATAATCGGTTGTTTGCTTCTCCAGTTCTCTCAGGCTGCTGAAACACTATGGAGAAAATGGAATTAATGTGCAGACTGTTGCCTCTCAAATGCTGCTATAGCTAAATCCTCCTGTTTCCATACCCAGCCCAGCTTTATTATTAAGATTAACCATACAGTTCCTCTCACGTTGCTCTTTGCAAACCTTAATCAGTATCCTGTTTGAGCCCCAACCCTTCTCCCCATCAGGAAAGTGACCTCCTTCTTACCTTGGCTCTGGCTCTAGATCCACACCTTCCACCTTGTCTAAAACTTTGCTCTGTCATTTATCCCCTCTAGTATCTATTTTTTCCTTTCCATTAGCTCCTTCCTCACTACATGTAAACTTACTCAAATCTTCCCTCTCCTAAAGAAGAAAAACAGAAAACCATCACTCTCTATTGAACCACACTGTATCCCCCCACTTTCCTTCAGTCATATTTCTTTCATTTTTAAATACTCATCCTTTATACTTTTTGAACTTTTATTTACATCTCAGCCCACTGCACTTGAGTTCTTTTCTCTAAGGCCTTCTCATACTGGGTTTGGCAAACTGGAAACTTATATTATCCTTATGTTAATTGGTGGTTCCTTTGTGAAATTATCTTCTGCCTTAGTTTCGTGGGTTCTTGCCTCTAGGCTTTTCTTTACTTCTTTGGATGATTCTTTGGAGAACTTTGCTGGTTGTCTGCCACGTCACTGTTAAGTGTTCGTTTACTTCCCCGACTTTCTACAAACTACCCTCATGCCTCGCTTCTCTGTGCTCCCATACTGCGTTGACTTTCTTTAGGAAGATAAGCATTTGTGTGGGGTTTTTTGTTTTTTGTTTTTGTTTGTTTTTATTTGTAAATGCATCACAGCTTTTTAACTTCTCTTTCCTCTACTTTGAAATATCCTTCTTCTAGTTCTTTCAGTGGCTGATTGACTTGTTACCTTTCATTTCTTGGGTCTAGTGTCATCTTTCAGAGACATGCTGTGACCATGAGTACCCTACTCATATCCCGTTGTAACCTGTTAACCCCTTTTTGTTGTGTCTGTAAACATTTAACATTTTCTGAAGTCATCTTGTTTGCACTTTGGGGACAGAGCCCTTGCCTGACCTGTTTTCGGTTCTGTCCCCAGGCACAAAAACTGACTAGGATCTCTAGTACAACATTAAATCAAGGTGATGATAGTAAATATCCTAGTCTTGGTCCTGATCTCGAAGACTAATATTTCACCATTGATTATTTCACCACTAAGTACCTGGGATACATTTTTAACTGTTTCATAGAGGATTGATGTATTACGGTAACTCATTACAGTTACATTACAGTAACTCATCTCGGCATGCCAGGTTATCACAAAGACCATTTCCGGAGCCTTCTCACTGACACAGGCATAACGCTATTCTTTCATTCTCTTGTCACTCTTACTGCTATCCACAACATACTAAGGATGTATCTCCCTTGTTACTCTTCAGTGATTCTTCATCACCCAGAGCAGTAGTTCTAAACAAATGATGTGCATAACAATCACTGGGGGATTTTCTGATTTGTCTGGAGATTCTGATACATGTTGTCTTAGACTCCACACTTTGTGAGAAACCCTGACTTACAGCTAATGTGCAAACAGCTGTTGAATTTGTACCATGTGCTAGACACAGATCTAAGTACACTGTGTTTGCTAATTTATTTAATTCTCACAACCATCTTGTGAGGTAGAAACTATTCTGCTGTTTCCCCATAATATAGATAATACCCTGAAGGTGAATTCCAAGTTTCTTACCATGGCCCTTCCGAGTTCTACCCTGTGCCCCTTGGTTGTCCCCCTTAGCACTGAAATGCATAGAAATCCAGCAATACTAAACTGTGTGTTACCTAAAAATACCATTTCTCTTCTTGGATTTGTACTCTTTCCATGTTGCTATCTCCTAAAACTTCCTTCTCCTGGTCCTTTCTATACTCAAGACCATCCGTTGGAATCATCTCTAAGAAGTCTTTCCTAGTATACACCCTAATTAGATTAGCTGGCTCTTACACAGTTCAGAACATTTTGTGCATACTGCAGTCATGGGAGTAGTAGTGGCATCCTCTAGAAATGATTTGTGTCTTTTTCTCCTCTCCTTAATTCTCAATTGAAGCTACTTAAATGTGGAAACCTGGTAATGTTCCCTTGTAATTCCACCTTATACTACAGTGCCCTACGTACAGTAGAAAGCTCAGTAAAGTATCTGTGCTTTGAAAGTAACTGTGGCTCAATTTCGTTTCTGTCAGTCTTCCTTGTTGTATTAGGATAATAGAGACAAATTTCTAGAACCTCAAAATACAGCAACCACTAAAGGTGTTTTATGGTGGTAAACTAAGGAATTATAATTGAATAATTGAAGAGTAAAGGAGATGAATAAGTGTGGGAAAAAAGAATCATAGTATATTTAAGATCTTTGCAGATTGAGATTTGATTTCTAGAAAATATATAACCCATTTTAGCTCTGTTGTAATTTGCTTTTAAATAATTCCTCTATCTTGTATTTACCTATTAGAAAGAGCTGCCACCATTTCACTTCTCTTTTCAAAATATACATGAATATTTAACAGAGATTTGGAAAGTTACTAGTTCCTAACACCGAATTAGATAGAAACAACTTGATGTTGTAGGTGGGCCCTGGACTGTTCATGCTCTAAGGATAACTGTTGGTAGCAGGCAGAAGAAGTCTTACCTAGAGCTCAGTGATAAACTAAGAGTGTTAAACTTGACATTTCTAGCCTTTGTTTTCCTAGCAAGTGGTATGAATTAAATTTTAACTTGCAGATATTAGGTTATTTTAAAGTTCTTTCCCTGATGTTATTCTCCTAAAAATTGACAAAACAGAAAGTATGACTCTCTTAAGAGTTCTACATGTATTTTCCAGAAATTCTGAAGTATTTCATATGTGACATCAATATATCTGAGTATTTTAGGCATAATATTCAGTGGTTTTATGAAATGTTAAGTGTTTATTCTTATAAAAATACAACACAGTTATAGAAACTTACTAGTATAGTTGCCTTTGTTTGGCAGAGAGTGTTCTCTCTAGTGTTCATTTATGTATGTAAATTCAGTGGAGTGAGGAGTTGACATAAGCTTGCTCTATGTCATTTTAGCTGCAGACATTCAGTACTGCTGCACCCTGTCAGGATGTCAAGCAGCTGACTAGTGGAGTTGCCATGGCACAAGTTCTTCATCAAATGTAAGTATGGTTTCAGGTTCTTCCTAAAATAATTATACCGTAAGGCTGCTGAAACTTGGTCCTTTTTAGTGCTGACAGGCGTATGGTATCAAGGTATTCATGCATCTAGGGGACAAAAAATTTTACCGTCTGATTATTTCTTGCTTATTCATAGAGATACATCTTAATTAAATTACCAATCAGGATTCTTATCTATTCAAGAGAGGTTTAATTTTAAGCTTGTTTGGGTCATATTCACAAGTTATAGTTACTAGGAGCGAAGCAGGTTAAATGAGTGATGTAATTTCTTACAATGTTTTCTGCAGTTATACTGTTGTCATTTTAAGGTATCAATGCTTAGAGATTATTGTTTTTTAGATAATTGAAGCATGAAATACTGGTTTTAGAAAAAAATATAAAATTTAACATTTATATTTGAATTAATAATAGTAATTGTATGAATCTACCAGTAGTGAAATGTTCTATAAATGAAATTTTAGCTCACAAATGCTAGGGAACCTTACCTAGTACAGAGATTCTGTTTGGGTTGGGCCCATTTTAAGTAATTATACAATATCAAAAGAGCCTTAATCCATTATTTCACCATTTTTGCCAAGCATTGGAAGAGGATTAGGGTTATAATATCCGCAGTATGAACTGTACCCTTAATAAGACAAAGAGGGCCAATGCTATAGTCATAATTTATTAATTGTCATATTGATTTTGTATTAGCTGACGTTCATGATAATATATCTTCAATGAATCCTATCTCTGCTACATGGCTTTAGATGTCAGAAATTGTTTAATTATTGCCATCATTTTTGTAAAGGTTTTTTTTATGATTGACTCTGAAAAATGCTTCAGCAAAATTGGGTTAGCAGAAATTCTTTACCAATGTTAAAAAAACAACTCAAACAATATCATAATCTTAGTTACTTTGAATCTTTAAAATGATCTAATTTGAATAGACAGATTTTATGGTTAACTCAAGATTAACACTTTAAAAGATAAATTTAGCATGTTAACATTTTTTTTTTGGCAGTCTTTCTGAAGTATGCCTTACTTCCCTGCTTTCTTAAAAATGTTTCTTAATTATTTTATTTTTCCTGTGATTGGTTTTAAAGTGATTTAATTTGTCCAAACTAAGAATTGGGGTTCCCAGGTGGTGCTAGTGGTAAAGAACCCACCTGCCAGTGCAGGAGATATAAGAGACACTGGTTCAATCCCTGGGTCAGGAAGATTCCCCTGGAGAAGGGAATGGCTACCCACTCCAGTATTCTTGCCTGGAGTATCCCATGGATACAGGAGCCTGGCAGGCTACAGTCCATAGGGTCAGAAAGAATTGGACGCAATTGAAGCAACTTAGCACGCACACAAGAATTGTGAACATGGTCTTGGTGATTTGGTAAATTCATCATTGTTTTAATGTACAGTCTGGCCTTTTCTCATTGTTGTGGATGTTGGTGTAGATATAGCTATCTTGTGGTTGGCATAGATGTAAGGCTGATGAACGTTCACTTACTTCGATATCCAAAAATGCTATTTATATGTACTGAAACGTCTTTCATAGCTTTACACCACAACATAGTAGATGAGAGCTGTTTTTACCATTATATGATGATATACATATGGCTCTTTGACCTCCTATATACCAGTACTATACCTGATGTTTAGAGTAGGGTCAGGTCAATTTTAGTTAAACTGTATCCTTTATCACCAACTCATTTTTACATAATGTGTTGGATTCTGTTGTTATTGCTGATTCTGTCTCTCCGGTTTTTCTCTTTTTATTCTCTTTTGTCTCTTACCATCTTCTAATAGCTTTTCTGCAGGAATAATATGAGTGAACCAATCAGAAAGCTTTCTTTCTTCATAAAACAAATGACAGTGAACTAAAATTGGCCCTAAACCTCTTGTTTCATTTACTTGTTTTTGCATGTACTTAGATGTGTAAACCTCCTTATCCTGTAAGAACCAGTTTAAATTTATTTTTCTTTTGAACTCCCTTCTATTTTTGTAAGCTTTTTAGAAGTCTGGTTCCAGACAGTGAAACTCACAGCATATGTTTTCCCTTAGTTGGGTCAGTGTATCATATTCCTGCTTAAAAAAAAAAAAAGAAGCAAATTTTACTTTATTTCTTTGAACACTTCAAAGCACTTTATATATGTTCCAATTTATTATATATTTCTTTGATGGCTGTTGTGACTCACATCAAAGTTGTTACTGAAAATGAGATGGGAAAGTTTGCTTTTTTAAGGAAATAACAAAATCTAGTGAATAATTCTTTCATTAGTTACCTGAGGCAGATACACTTCTAAATAATACAGTCTTAAAAATCAATTCCCAAAGTATATGACTGAGACATGATGAGTCATGAAGTTGTTGCTACGATTCTACAGTTCTTTATTTGTTATCTTTAGTCTGAATACATAATATATATCTCTTTTTTAAATGCAGAAACTGTTGCTATTTTAAAGACACATGGGAGAAAACCTGTAACTACAACTGTATTCATTTCTTGGGATTTTTGTAACAAAGTGCAACAGATTATGTGGCTTAAAACAACAAAAATATCTTCTTTAGAGTTCAGGAATTTACAAGTCCTATATCAAGGTATTGGCTGAACCATGCTCCCTTCAAAACCTCTAGGTCAGGATCCTACCTTGATGTTTCTAGTCTTTGGGTCTCCAGGCATGCCTTAGTTTGAGGCATCGTAACTCTAATCTGTGTCTCTGTCTTCACATCGCTATCTTCCCTCTGTGTTTCTTCTCCTTTTCAGTAGAGGGACACCAGTCATAATGGATTAGGATCCACTCTAATTTAGTGTGACCTTAAACTTGATTACATCTTAACTTGATTATGTTTGCACACACCCTATTTCCAAATAAGGTTACGTTCATAGGTGGTAAGGGTTAGGCCTCGAACACATCTTTTGGGGGGTTGTAATTCAACTGTAATTAACAGCTATAAATAGTGCATACTACTTTCCTAAATGGAAAGACTTAGCTTTGTTATTTTATGCACCACATAACTTTTCTGTTTTTTTCTGTTGTCTTTGACTAGACATTTTTACAAGAGAGAAAAGAATAATACAGAATGTAGAATATCCAGGGAAACCTTAAGTATCACGTACAAATTATTTATTTATTCATTTATTCAGCATATATTTGAGCATTTAAAGAAATAAATCATGATAGCCAACATATGAATGTTTATTAAATGTAAGACATTATATACCCTATATATGTGGTAGTTCATTTAATTTTTACTGTTTTGCGAGACAGGCATTATTTTTATCCTCAACTAATAGGTGAGGAAACAGAGGTTTATAAAGGTGAAATGAATTAAGTAAAGTCAAATAATGAATAAAAATAGCAAAGTCCAGACTTTTATCACTTTGGCCTGACTCAAGCCAGTACCCGTGGTCAGCTATAATCATTGCAGCCTAGCATCTTGAACCCCTCCTGATAGATTTTTACTTTGAAGTCTTAATAAATGAGAGACCAGATGTGCATGTCAAAGTACTGACAATTTGATATGTTAAATGCACAAGACCTTTTGATTACTTAAGAGGAATGGTGTCAGGGTGTCCACTGAAGCAACAAAACGATGTTGTGTCTAGTAGCCAGTAGGCATTAATTACTACCTGTATTTAGTTGATAGAATTGTGAAGACAAATACCATGGATGGAGCTAAAAATAATCATATAGTGTTTCTTACTTGGTTTTATTAGAAAACAGTTGGACCACATTTCACTGTCTTGTGTTTCCTTGTTTGGTATCTCTTAAGTTTCATTGAAGTTCTGGGAAATACTTGAAAAACGGAGCTAATTGGTGGAGCCAAGTGTCTAGTTAAGGCTTGTAGATGTGGCAATGCAGAAAAAGTAAAAGAAGGATATATATCCTGAAAGTTCTGAAGTTGAATATCAAGTTTAATAGTGGGAAAGGTTGGCTGCTGTTATAATTGTTTGAGAAAGATGAATTTGCTTATAAGAAATAAAAGAAGATATAGACTTTTATGGAAGGGTTAGAAAGTGTTTCTAAGATTATCAGGGACTGAGAGTTTGTGTCCCTTTAAAATCCTGTGTTGAAGTTCTTAACTCCTAGTATAGCTATATTGGAGATAGGGCCTTTCAGGAAGTAATTAAAATTAAACGAGGTCATAAGAGTAGGGAGACATGATCCACTAGTATTGAACTCCTTATAAGAGGAGAATTCGGAGACCTCCCTCTCTATAAATATACAAAGATGAGGTCATGTGAACACATTGCATGATGGTAGCACCTAGGATCTCAGAATGAAATCTGCCTTGCTAGCATCCTGATCTGCGACTTCCACCCTCTAGAACTGTGAGGAATAAATTTCTGTTGTTTAAACCATCCAACCTGTGGTATTTTGCTGTAGCACTCTGAGCAGACTCTTAAGACATAGGGCTAAAGTCGATTTGAGATGGGAAGGAAGACAAGTAGGAATGCAAGACAAAAGGAGGAAATACTGAAAGAGGTTGTCTCTAGATCCATTTTCTAAAGGTAATTATTTATGATGAAACTACAGAATCATGTATGAAGATTTTTTTGGAGTCAGTTAGAAGACTGGTGTAGTATCTCCAAAGAAATAGAATAAGATGTGTATATATACAATACACTGCACACACACACACACACACACACATACACACACGCATGAGGGATTAGAGAGAGAGTTAAGAAATTGGCTCATGTTCTTATGCAGCCTGGGAATTCCAAAATCCAGAGTAGGTAGACCAGTAGGCTGGAAGTCTAGGGAGGAGTTGATGTTACAACTAGAGTTGACAGGCATCTACTCTTAAAAGCAGAGTTCACTCTTTTTCAGGGGAAATCAGTCTTTTTCTTTAGGCCTTCAACTGATTGGATGAGCCACATTTTGGAGGGTAATCAACTTTACTGTAAGTCTACTGATTTAAATGTTAATCTCATCCAAAAGACATCTTCACTACAATATCCAAACATATTTGACCAAATTTATGGGTACCAGTGTTCTGCCAAATTGACACACAAAATTAACCATCACATTTAGCATACCTCTTTAACTTAATCTGATGTCAGAAGAAAGTAAAATTACTTGAAAATTTTTACTCAACTAAAAAATTCAGTCTTTTCAGGTAAATACCTAGTTAGAAATACATCATTTATACACTTAGTCAAGTTATTTTGGTAACTATAGCCTTAACATCTGAGAAAAGCCAAAAATAATTAACATTAATTTGCTCAAAAGAAAACAGTTGCAAATTCCAAGTAAGTGAATTGAAAATGATGAGGCCATTTCCAGTTACTCCGGTCAGAAGAGACATTCTTCTTTTGTATTAGCACATTTGAGGCAGAATGATTTCTGAAAAGCAAGGCACTGTTTTCAGCTTTGCATTTTTAAATTCAGGATACTGCCTTGGAAAGAACCCCTTTAATTTTTTCCCTCAGTTTAGTTGCCTTATCTGTAAAGTTAAAATTTAGGCAAGACTTCTGAGACCTCTGTTAGCACTAATATTCTGTGATTTCTTGGTGTTTGTTTACTGCTTAAAGCATTTATCACCTTCTCCTTAGATGCTCTAGAGTAGGGAATGGCAACCCACTCCAGAGTATTCTTGCCTGGAGAATCCCATTGACAGAGGAGCCTGGCGGGCTACAGCCCATGGGGTCTCAAAGAGTCAGACATGACTCAGCAACTAACCCTTTCACTTCCTTTAAGTATAGTTGTTTGTGCTCTTTCAGTTCAGTTCAGCTCAGTCATGTCCAACTCTTTGCGACCCCATGAACCACAGCATGCCACGCCTCCCTGTCCATCACCAACTCCCAGAATCTACCCAAACACATATCCATCGAGTCGGTGATGTCATCCAACCATCTCATCCTCTGTTATCCCCTTCTCCTCCTGCTCTCAATCTTTCCCAGTGAGTCAGCTCTTTGCATCAGGTGGCCAAAGTATTGGAGTTCCAGCTTCAACATCAGTCCTTCCAGTGAACACCCAGGACTGATCTTTAGGATGGACTGGTTGGATCTCCTTGCAGTTCAAGGAACTCTCAAGAGTCTTCTCCAACACCACAGTTCAAAAGCATCAATTCTTCTGCGCTCAGCTTTCTTTGTAGTCCAACTCTCACATCCATACATGACCACTGGAAAAACCATAGCCTTGACTAGACGGACCTTTGTTGGCAAAGTAATGTTTCTGCTTTTTAATATGCTGTCTAGGTTGGTCATAACTTCCCTTCCAAGGAGTATGCGTCTTTTAATTTCATGGCTGCAATCACATCTGCAGTGCTTTTGGAGCCCAGAAAAATAAAGTCAGCCATTGTTTCCCCATCTATTTGCCATGAAGTGATGGGACCAGATACCATGATCTTAGTTTTCTGAATGTTGAGCTTTTAAGCCAACTTTCTCACTCTCCTCTTTCACTTTCATCAAGAGGCTCTTAGTTCTTCTTCACTTTCTGCCATAAGGGTGCTCTTTACTTTCTACCTTTAATAGCTATTTCTCTTAGGAGGATAATAAATTATTCATCTTTATATTAATCTCACTCAATTTTTTACTCAGAATAAGCCTCCAAATATTGTTTAGAATATAGTCTTTTATTATAGTTTACTATTTTTAATCAGATGTTATTCTTCAAGGCCTTATTAAATACATAATAATTTGATATAGCAGCTTTGTCTTGGACTTCAGTGCCTATTTAGGGCTTAACAAATTTAATTCTAAACTTTGCTATGTACTAGTGTCACTTAGGAGATGGAAATGGCAACCCATTCCGGTATTCTTGCCTGGAGAATCCTGTGGACAGAGGAGCCTGGAGGGCTGCTGTCCATAGGCTTGCAGTTGGACACGGCTGAAGCAACTTAGCATGCATGCATGCATGTATGCATTGGAGAAGGAAATGGCAACCCACTCCAGTATTCTTGCCTGGAGAATCCCAGGGACAGAGGAGCCTGGTGGGTTGCCATCTATGGGGGGTAGCACAGAGTCAGACACGACTAAAGTGACTTAGCAGCAGGCGGTGTCCCTTAGGGCAAATTACTATCTTAGTTTACTAAAGGAGTGAGATTGGGGATCATAGACCCTTTACTAAGATACTGTTATATTAAAATGAAGTGATATGGAAAAACATTAGGCACAATGCTTGATGCGTAGTAGATACATTGTTTTCTTTTTTTTCCCTTTAGGATTAGGATTTTTATATCTACCTGCTACCAGGGTGCATGAGTATGAGTTATTTAGTAAATTTTGTTAAATTGAAGATGTTAATGACTTAATTCATTTCCTATGAGAAATTCCAAAAGAAACCCTTAGGAATAACAAAAAATTCAGTGGGTTCATTTTAAATAATATTTACTGTTTTTAATAAGGACAGCCTTTAAGATGGAAAATAACTCTCTCTGTTGATTAGATTTGTATTTTCATGTCATACAGACATTTTAATGTTCATTTGTATTTTTGTTGTAGTGATGTAGCTTGGTTCGATGAATCTTGGTTAAGCCGAATTAAAGAAGACACTGGTGACAGCTGGAGAATAAAGGTATGCAGAATGAATGTTAGATGCACATGATCCAAACAGTGGTTCTGGAATTAGCACTAAGCTCAACTAAATCTTCTTTTTTAAGTGAACTGAAGGGTGTATTTTGCTGTGCATGGTTTCGGTTTTGATAGTTATATGTGTTCTTATACCATCATAATCAGATGTAGAACATTTTCATTAACCAAAAACATGTACCTGTTCCCCTTCCTAGTTAATCCTCACTCCTAAGTTGGCCCTGGATGGCCACAGATCTGCTTTTAGTCACTGTAGGTTTAATTTCTAGAAAGTGAAAGTTGCTCAGTCTTGTCTGACTCTGTGCAACCCCATGAACTATATAGTCCATGTAATTCTCCAGGCCAGAATACTGGAGTGGGTAGCCTTTCCCTTCTCCATGGGGTCTTCCCAACCCAGGAATCGAACTGGTGTATCCTGCATTGTAGGCAGATTCTGTACCAGCTGAGCTATCAGGGAAACCCTTAATTTCTAGAGTTCATTATAAATGGAATTTGATAAATCTGGTTTGATTTTCCATTTTTTGAATTTTTTTTTCAAAAGAGCAGCTTTTGTTTTCTTTTTTGTTGATTTCCTTTCTGATCTTTATTATTTCCTTTCTTCTTTATGTCTGCACCTTTTTTTTTGCTTCTTAAGGTGAAAGCTTCAATGATGTTTTCAGCACTTTTCCCTAACAGTAAGCATTGCCTTAGCCACATCCACACATTTTAACATACTGTGTTCTTATTTTCATTTCAAAATATTTGATAATTTCCCTTGTGATTTTTCTTTTGACCCCTGAGTAGATTAGAAATAGGTATTTCAGGTTCTAAATATTTGAGGATTTTCTATATATCTTTTATTTATTAATTTATAAATTCCATTTTGGTTTGAGAACATACTCTGAATTCTTTTACATTTACTGAGACTTATTTTGTGACATAATATATAGTCTGTCTTGGTGAATATTCCATGTACATTTGAAAATAACATACATTTTGCATTTCTACAACTATGGATTATTTTAGCTTCTTTGATAGTACTGTTTACATCTTTTATATCTTTATTGATTTTCTGTCTGATTATTCTGTCAGTTAAGGGAGGAGAAGTTTTCAAATCACTAATGATGATAGTGGATTTTTCAGTTTCTCCTTTCAGATCTGCAAATATTTTAATCATGTAATTTGAATCTATGTTATATGGTTTATATATATTAGTTTTTTATGTCTTGTTGATGAGTGAATCTACTTATCATTATGAAATGACTTTCTTTATCCTGGTAATATTTTCTGTTTGGAAGTGTAATTTGTCCGATACTGATATAACCACTTTTGTTATGATTTTTTTTGCCTATTGTCTTTTTCTTTTCTTTAGTCTCTCTCTGTTTATATTGAAAATGCTGTAGATACCTAATAGGTCTTGCTTTTTAAAAAATCCATTAACAGTCTCTTTTATTTAGTTTTTTTTTTTTTAGTAAATCATTAGCTCTCTTATATTCCTGCTATTTAAATCCTTGAACATTTTAAACTAACAATTTTAACATTTTGTCTTCTAATTCTTTCATCTCTCATTTTTGGAGTTGTTTCTATTGACTGTGGTTTCTCCTAATTATAGTTCACATATTCCTGCTTCTTCATGTGTGTAGTAATTTTTTATTGGATGCTAGATAGTGTTGATTTTCTTATTGAGTGCTGGGTTTTTTGTATTCCAACACACTTTAAAGAGTGTTGGATTTTGTTCCTACAGGCAGTTAAGATACTTGTGAATCAGTTTGATTCTTTCATGGTTTGTGGAGGTGGAAGGCAGATCTAGAGTTATTTTCTCCTCTTGGACTATTAGACTCACTACTAAGTTGTGACCTTTTTGAGGTCTTTATTGAATGCTTATCTATATTAACCTGGTCATGGTCTCTTCACTCTGACTGGTGAGAATTGCCCTGTGCAATCTTCAGGAATTGTTCAGTTTATAGTTCCCTGGATTGTTGTTTCCTTGGAAATTATTTTTGTTTAATCTCATAGAGTTTCACCCATGCACGTGCAAATTATTGTTCAGACAAAGAGTCAAAGGAACTACTATGCAGATTTCTGGAGCTCTTTCTTTCCATAGCTCTCACCTCTTCATTTATCTACTCTGCAAATCCCAACTACCTTGACCTTCCTGAACTTCTGATGTCTATCTTCTCAAATCCACTAGAATGTCAGGCTTTGTTTCGTTTCTACCTCCCTATGCCATGGTATGAAAATTGCCTCTAGAGAGAAATCTTAGACTAGTATAGGGCTCACCTTTTTTCTTCTCTCTGCAATTAGAGTTCTATATTGTCTTTTGGCTAAGCTTGAAGATAATATTCCTGTTTTCTAGTTGTTACTCATGACTAAAGGTGGACATGCTCATAGCTAAATTTTCTAAGTTAGTACTTGAATTCTAACTTAGCCACAACTTATTTGTGGCTCATTTTAAATAGAATCACTGTGGTTAGACTATGTAAGCAGTAAAACATTTTTTCTTCGATAAAACTCTGAATAAAGCTTTGATGTTTAAAAATTACCATGTATTTGTATTTGTAGAGCTCTAATACGTATTTTTGTTGTCCTTTTTATTGGGAAGTTTTTATTGTCTTTCAGCTTGACGTGTGTTTTCTTTCATTATTAATTTTAAATGATTTATTTAATTCTTATTTTTTCTTCTGTTAGGCTAGTAATTTAAAGAAGGTACTTCAAGGAATTATGAGTTACTACAATGAGGTATGAAAATCATCTGACTGTTTAAATATAAAATACTGTGATAATTATATTGACAATGAAAAATGACTTGCTTTTAGTTTATAACATTTTACGATGTATAATTCATAATTGTAAGATTTTTTTTCTCCATTTCTAGTACACTCAGATTTTGTGAACATAAAAGGGCTAAAACTTAATATATTGATTTGTAAAATAATGTTTATATGTTGCTGCTCTTTAAGTTGATTATTTTCTCAAATAAAATTGCTTACATCTTTATGTAATTTGATCTTATATAATAAGATCTATAAAGTAGATCTTGTAATTAAATTGAAGTACTTTTCTGTTTAACGTATTCTGATGTTTCTTTCCAGTGTAAACAACAGCAAAGCTCCACTATGAAATTTATGCTTATGCAAGTAAATTGAGGAAGAATGCAAAATAAAAGTAGTATTAAAGTCACCTTAGATATTACATTATTCAAGTACTTTGTTTTTCTTATTCAGCATTATAAGAAATTCTCTAGTTAGGATTATTTGATATTAGAAGGTTAATTGCTTAATGTATGAAAGCTTTTGGTCTGGTTTTGCTGTTAAAGAATTTTTTTTTTAATTTTTGTACCATTGAACTTGTTCCTTCCAAGTAATTTTAGAACTAAAATTTTTCAATTCACTAATGCCTAAAACTCATTTTGAAGTTTTGTTTGTTTTTTGTGTTTTTAATGCTAAGAATACTTTTTAGTAATTTGAAGAAAACAGTCTTGGGAATTCCCTGGCGGTTCAGTGATAGAACTTGGCACTTTCACTCCCAGGGCACTGATTCAGTCCCTGGTTGGGAAATTAATATCCCACAAGCCGTGTGGCACAACAAAAAAATAGAATGAAAGTTGTTCAGTCTCTAAGTTGTGTCCCACTCTGCGATCCTGTGGACACCATGCAGAAAAATTATAGGGCCAGCAAAGATTAATCATTTAAATCTGTTACTTATTTGTCAAAGTGTGACAGTTTATTTTGTGTTTCTCTGTTCATTGAGACTGTATCAAAATATTTTGAATATTCTTTGACTTAACATAGATCTGTTTATTTTTTATGGAAAGGCATAAGTTTTATCATAATAGATGAGGCCAGGGGCTTCTTAAACAATTCCTCTCTCTGGCAGTGGGGTAAAATGATACTTGGTATAAAACCATGTTAGTTGCATTTGGTTGGTTCTCAAAATTTTAGGAGCTTGCTTGAACTTTGCTAACTGTTTTGGTCAATAATTGTGGTTTTGTCATTTGTTAATTTATCTGAATCATTTCATGAACCTATTTATAGAATTTATCTTCCTTATAACAACTAAATGTAGTCTCTTCTCTGTAGCCTACATAAGTGAGTGATCTAATTTATTTTTAACACTGCAGTTTTTGGGGCAACAGATTTCTGAAGAACTTATCCCTGATTTAAACCAGATAACTGAATGTTCAGATTCTGTGGAGCTTGGGAGATTGCTCCAGCTTATTTTAGGTTGTGCTGTCAACTGTGAAAAGAAACAAGGTAAGTGAATTTCAATTATTTGAGGATATCTACTTTCTAGAAACAACCTACATTGCTTATAAGAAATAGCATAATAATGTACTGTTGAGGGTTGGCAGAAGGCCAGAGGTTCTGAATTCAAGCGCAGCTCTGCCATTAAAAAGCCACAGATCTTCAGTATCCTAATTGTATTTCTGGATTCTGAGATTCATATTCAATGGCTAAATAAAATGTACTTTAATTAGCTTAATTTAATCAGTGCTTAGGACTTAGTGGGTATTCAATAAAAATTGTATTTATTCATTTGATAAGCTTTCTCTTTCACATACAGACCCTTATGTTGGTTGAGATTTTCATAAATAATTATACAGCTGCTAAATTATAATCCAGGCTTCTTCAGGTGATATTCTGCTATTTTCAGAAGAATGCCTTCAGTGTGTCCTCCAGATAAGCAGTCTGATTATATAAATGGAATTGAGGACTATATTAGTATATCTGAACACAGTAATCCATACCCAGCTGAGTACTAAAAGAGTGTTTTTGGTTGAAAGTAATGAGTAAAATGATGAACTGAACAGACCATCTACTTCTCTCAGGAGCTTGCATCAGTCTGGGTGATGAGATTTTTGATCCTGATGTTTTTTGCATGACTCATCCAAAACTGGCTTTAGGACATCACCTTTTTGGGTGCTGAAGTTTGTAAAATACTTTAAGTCAGAACCTTAGAAAATATTCAGTGTTATCTAACTAATGAAGAGAGCACATAAGACAAGATAAATTCAGTAAGAATTAATTCAGGAAGGAGAAAAATAAAATATATGAAATCAGCTATAGTTTACCAATAAAAAAAGGGTTCGGGTATCAGAAAACTTTCATATTAGGGCATCTCTGTTATTAACTGGCTGTTTTTTCTTGGACAAGTGAGTACTTCTCCATAGGTTTTTATTTCTCATAGCTATCCTTTGCTGTGCAAAAACTTTTAAGTTTAATTAGGTCCTATTATTTATTTTTATTTTCACTACTCTAAGGAGGTAGATCCAAAAAGATATTGCAGCAGTTTATGTCAAAAAGTGTTCTGCCTATATTTTCCTTTGAGAGTTTTACAGTATATGGTCTTACATGTAGGTCTTTAATCCATTTAAAATTTATTTTTGTGTATGGTGTTAGAGAATGTTAATTCACTCTTTTACATTTACCTATTCAGTTTTTCTAGTACCACTTATTGAAGAGACTTGTTTTTTCTCCATTTTATATTCTTGCCTCCTTTGTTATAGATTAATTTGCCATAGGTACGTGAGTTTATCTGTGGATTTTCTATTCTGTCCCATTGATCTATACCTCTGTTTTTGTGCTATTACCAAACTGTTTGATTATTGTAGCTTTTGATTACTGTATAGTCTGAGGTCAGGGAGCCTGTTTCCTCCAGCTGCATTTTTCTCTCTCAAGATTGCTTTAGCTATTCAGGGTCTTTTGTGTTTCCATGCAAATTTTAAGATTTTTTTGTTCTAGAGCTGCAAAAGATGCCATTAGTAATTTGATAGGGATCGAATTGAATCTGTAGGTTACCTTAGGTAATGTAGTCATTTTGACAATATTGATTCTTCCAATCCAAGAACATGGTATATCTTTAGATTTGTTTGTGTCAACCTAGACTGTTGGTGGGAATATAAATTGGTACAGCCACTCTAGAGAACAATATAGAGGTTAAAAACGAAAAATAGATTTGATTCACTCTAGGGCGTATATCTGAAGAAAACTAATTAGCAAAGATACTTGCACCCCAGTGTTAATTGCAGCACTATTTACAATAGCCAAGGCATGGAAGCAGCCTAAATGTCCATCAACAGATGATGGTAAGGAAGATATGGTACATATATACAATGGAAGATACTCAGCCATAAAACGGAATGAAATAATGCTATTTGCAGCAACATGGATGCAATTAGAGATTGTTACTAAGTGAAGTCAGACAGACAGAGAAAGACATATATCATATGATATACTAATATGTGAAATCTAAAAATTGTACAAGTGAGTTTATTTATAATACAGAAACAGACTCACAGGCTTAGCAAACAAACTTATGGTTGCCAAAGGGGAAAGATAGGGAGAGCAGATAAATTAAGATATTGCGATTAACATATGCAAACTACCATACTTTACTCAATACTCTATAGTAACCCATATGGGAAAAGACTATGAGAAAGCCTGGATGTATATGTATATGTACAACTACTTTCCTCTACACCCAGAATGAACACAACATTGTAAATCAGCTATATTCTAATGTAAAATAAAAATTAAAAAGATAAAGGAATGTTTCCCTTAAGGGGAAAAAGAAAGAACATAGATGATTCATGGGAAGAGATAAAAATACCAGCATTCACAGGAGTTTGGAAAAAACTAATTACAATTCTTGTACATGACTTAAGCAGTTCAAGACTTCAATGGAGGGTTTAACTGCAGATGTGGTAAAATAGCAAGAGAATTCGAATTAGAAGTGGAACTTAAAGATATGACTAAATCTCATGAGAAAATGTTAATAGATGAGTTGGTTCTTATGAATGAACAAAGAAAATGGTTTCTTGAGATGGAATCTACTCTGGGCAGAGATGCTATGAAGATTGTTGAAATGACAACAAAGGATTTAGAAATTACATAAACTTAAGTTGATGAAGCAGTAGCAGGATTTGAGAGGATAGGCTCTAGTTTTGAAAGAAGCTATACTGTGTGTAAAATGATATCAAACAGCACTGCATGCTACAGAGAAATTGTTTGTGGTCGGAAGAGTCAACTGATAACGGCAGACTTCACTGGTGTCTTATTTTAAGGAATTGCCACAGACAGCCCAGCTTTGACCAGCGCCCTCTTTGGTTTTTTCTAGCAGCCATCAGCATCAAGATATCAATAAGATCCTCTATTAGTAAAAGGATTAGCACTTACCTAAGTCTCAGATGATGGTTAGTATTTTGTTAGCAATAAAGCAATTTTTAATTCAGGTTTGTACATTGTTTTTTTAGATTTAATGCTATTGTCACTTAATTGACCAGAGTAGTTTGTAAATAGAACTTTTATATATACTGGGAAACTAAAAAATTCATGTGACTCACTTTATTGTGATTATTGCTTTATTGTCTGGAACTGAACTTATGATATCTCTGTGCTATACTTGTGCATGTGAATTCATCCCATAATGTTGAATTTTTAACAAGATATAAGAAATTGTCATAGTTGTTCTAAGATTAATTGCAATTTCTTCTCGTTTTCTTCCTTGTAAGAAACTTAGAGATTTTCTTTAAAACATTTATAAATATTTATATGAATATTTTCAATTATGTGTATTTGTTTTCAATGGACATATTTCTTGTGGGAAAAGTATTGTACTTGCATAAAGAATTATGTATAGTGAATCAATTTTTATGTGGTTAATTGAATGGCTGAATTACTTTGGATAAAGAATAGAGTTTTTATCAGATCTGATTTTTTTTTAAACCATAGAACATATTCAGAATATAATGACATTGGAAGAATCTGTTCAACATGTGGTCATGACTGCTATTCAAGAGGTAAGTTATATCATAATCATATATGTATAAAAATCCTAAACCAAATTGTATAAAATTTTTCACAAAAACTTTATGGATGTATATTTCACTACTGTATAAACGTGCCCTTTGCAGTAGGTTGACTTATCTTTGACTGTTATGTCTTCCCTTCATTCTTTTCCCCCCAAATTTCTTTTATAAGGATTTCAAGCCCAATTTTAGTACCTCAGCATTTTAAAAGCTAAATTACTGTTAAGTTCCTTTAAGTAACTTTAGCTAAGCAGGATAAACAGCATTTTCCCAGATAGGAATTTTTATACCTTTTTTTTTTTCTGCCAGATAGAATAATCTTCTCTGAAATTTAAAGTGTGTGTGTGTGTATCTTATGTGCATTTTCAGAATGTTAGAACTGTGAGCAAATACAGTCATAATTATATTTCAGAGCCAGGTAGTCTGGGTTCAATCCAGTCTGGTTATCTTAAGTTATGCCATAAAGATTCAAAATTCATTTGGCACATGTTCGTGTTCATTCTTAAAGTCAGACCAGAAGGCTGAGATGAAGTCAAGTGAAGAGGAGGCCTGAGGGAAAATTGAGTGAAGGGTTAGTTTGGAAGAGTCATGACTTAAAGGGAGACAGCATATAGGACTTGAAAAGTGGTTATACCCTGAGTTTGCATTGCTGGTTTGAATTCAAAACACTGCTATGCATAAATATACGTGTCTCGCATATGCAAAAGAAATTATTTTACAGGATCTTTTTTCTCATATAATTGTAGCTCCTACACTTAAAATGGCTTCTTGGATTAGGAATTTTGCCATATCACTCATTTATAGCTGTATTTTAAACGTGCCAACTCATGTTACAGAAGAATCATTCTTTAAAATTATTCAATGTGCTCAATTTTATGTAGAATTTGTATTATAATTTTTAGTACATTAGTATTTTAAATATATCTATTTACATATTTCAAGCATACTCTACTTTTTGTCTTCACTAATATAATGTTTGAACATTGAATTATTTAGCTTAAGTTGCTATTTATTTTTTATTTGAATAATATAAGGGTCATCAAATTAAGGCAAGGAAAAATTAAACGTGAAACACCTTACTGTTATTTTTACTGTGTAAAAGAACTTTTTGCTTGTAAAAAAAAATGAATACTTTTACTGTGTAAGCCTCAGTTTATTGTACTTAATTTTATTATTTTAATCCTAGTTGATGAGTAAAGAAATCGTGAGCTCTCCCACAAATGATGCTGTTGGAGAATTAGAACAGCAGGTGAGTATTTCAGTATGTGAGGAAAATGTAACAGCGATAGAGTTCCTCTGTCAGTTATTGGGTTAACCAAAAGGTTCATTCGGGTTTTCCATAACTTCTTAATGGAAAGACCCAAACAAACTTTCTGGCAAACCCAGTACTGTCTTAAAGGCTTACATCAGAGAGCACATACAAGGTATTTTCCTTCATGAAATTTAGATAGTTTGTTCTCTTGTAAGATCTTAAATATTACTATACATTCCTTCATGAATGCAGGTAGTGTTGATTTCCACAGTTTTTAATGATAGTGTTTGAAGAATCAAGTGGCATTAAACTTTCCTGATATTTGTTAATACATATGTAGCTCATGCTATATAGTTATGTAATTAAATAGCAGACAATTTTTAAAATTCTGCTAAATTCTAATTTATCTAATAAGCAAATGTGATTTTTATCATAGTTGCTTTCCTTTAATATTGAACTCAAAGGTTCTGTACTCAAGGCTCCCTTCCCTGGTGGTTTCACACAGTTGTTTTCCGTGGTGGAAAAGATACTCTCTTCCTCTGTGTAACCCAACCTGGGTTATGGTAAGAGAAGTAAGGGAAATGGTAAGAAGACGCACATGCATTTGTTAATTTTGAAACTGTTTCCAACATCAGTATATATATGTGTTGTGATAAAAGTTTATTTTTCAGTTTGTTTCAAAATATGATTTACTAAGAATTAGGACATTTTTCTATTTCAGCTTAAAAGGGCCCTAGAAGAACTTCAGGAAGCACTAGCAGAAAAAGAAGAACTGAGGCAAAGATGCCAAGAACTAGATATGCAGGTATGGATATGAGAGTAATTTCCTCTTTGAATTAATAAGCCTTTTAAAATTAATTAATTGGTAAAGTGTTTTGGAGATTGGGTTTATTTCATGGAGGGATCATTGAAAGAGTTTGGTATAGACTTGAATATTGAAGCATAAATTTTATCATTTTTCTCTTAGAGTTGAAAATTGCTGGTGTAACTACTTCATTGAGAAGATCATTCAAATTGTAGAATTTCAACTGGTTAGATAGGGCTTAATTTGTTATTCTGTAAAAAGGGGAAACTAAAGTATCTCCTTAATAAGATATGAGTATTAAGTGGAGTCCTTTATGGAAATACTTAGAAGTGCTTGACCTCCAGTGAATGCAGGTGCCAAGTTTGTTTTGCTAACATGTATGTGTATATGAACACATATATAATTCTCAGGTTCGTATGCACATACATGTTAGCAAAATAAACTTGGAATGAGAAACAGTAGTTAAAGGAGAATCGTCAGACCAGGCTTCCTGTATTCAGAACCTGATCATATTACTACTGTTGTTGTTTAGTTGCTAAGTCATGTCCGACTCTTTTGCGATCCCATTAATGGTAGCCTGCCAAGCTCATCGGTCCGTGGGATTTCCCAGGCAAGAATACTGGAGTAGGTTGCCAATTTCCTTCTCCAGGGGATCTTCTTGACCCAGGGTTTGAATCCATGTCTCCTGAGTTGCAAGTAGATTTACAACTGAGCCACCAGGGAACTCCTGGTCATGTTACTAGCTAGTTATGTCTGCTTGGGCACATTGCTTAGTTTCTCTATACTTCGTTTTTCTCTTTTGAGAAATGATGTGATAATAGTATATATTTCCCTATGTGATAATGAAGATTAAGTGAATTAATATACTTGAAGCTCTTAAAGAGGGCCAGGCACATAATGGGTTATGTATGTGTTTGCGTATATTGTTATTAAATGAAAGTGCAAATATGAAATTATGCAATAAGTCTTGAAAAATTGTACAAAACATTAAGTATACCATCATAATATGCTCCATGTGAATTGCACTTCTCATTCAAATAATGAGCTACATAAATAATTGACTCTGAAAAGTATGAGGACAAGGAACAAGGCTTGTGGTAGCAATACCCTTGCTTAAATATCTAAAATTATAGGGCTGGTAGTATTTCTAACCTTCATGGGTTTGAAAATGAGATGAGAAGTGACTTGGTCAGGGTGATTCGACGTGCAGGGCAGTGACAACCAGCACCAGAATCCAAATCTCCTAACTTCATCATTAAATATCCCTCCTCTGTGTTTGAACAAAGCCAGTGTTTATATTTGAACAAAACTAGTGTCTCACTATGTTTTTCCCTTTCTTCCTTTTTAACCACATGCACAGCATCTGAAATGTTTTATTTTCAAGTAAGATTATATCCTTTTTCCAGAATACCTCATGTAGAGTAGAGGACTGACTCATTCAGGTGTTACCAGCCTTATGTAAGATCTCTGTACAGTTTTCTGAGAAATCCTTTTTTAAAAAAGAACACAAAATTTGGTTAAAACGTTTCAGTGTTTGTTACACATGGTGAAGAGTACATGATGATCTGGTTTTAGTTGAAAAGTATAGACATCCCAAGTTTTGGCATTTTAATTCCAGTATCAAAGTAGAGGCAACCCTCAACTATCTGCTACACGTGTGAAATAAATGACTACTGCATATAATCAGAACAAAAAGTAATTGATTAATTTAACAATATGAATTTCACACAGGTGTATATGATATATACCCTAATTTTATAAGAAAAAATTTTTTTGAAAAATGTTTGTTTTTAATCACATGTAACCAGACAGTAGGTTACATTACTTCATGGCAAATAGGGGAAAAGGTAGAAATAGTGACAGATTTCTTCATCTTGGGCTCTAAAATCGCTGTGGATGATGACTGCAGCCATGAAATCAGAAGACAATAGCCTCTTGGCAGGAAAGCTATGACAAACCTAGACAGTGTGTTGAAAAGCAGAGACGTTTCTCTGCTGAGAAGAGTCCATATAATCAAGGCTATGGTCTTCCCAGTGTTCACGTACAGTAATGAGAGCTGGACTGTAAAGAAGGCAGAGCACCAAAGAATTGATGGCTTTGAACTGTGGTGCTGGAGAAGACTCCTGAAAGTCCAATGAATAGCAAGGAGATCAAACCAATCAATCTTAAGGGAAATAAACCATGAATATTCGTTGGAAGGATGCTGAAGCTCCAGTACTTTGGTCATCTGATGTGAAGAGCTGATTCATTGGAAAGGTCCCTGATGCTGGGAAAGATTGAGGGCAGGAGAAGAGGACATCAGAGGATGAGATGGCTGGATGGCATCACTGATGCAATGGACATGAACGTGGGCAAACTTCGGGAGATGGTGAGGAACGGGGAGCCCTGGTGTGCTGCAGTTCATGGTGTCACAGAGTCAGATGCAACTGGGCAACTGAAAAACAACAACAACAAAACTGGAGAGTGATATTTAAATTTGTGGGGAATTTTTTTTTAATACCCAACCAAATGAACCAAAAAAGAAAAATAAGTGGCAAAGAAATTCACCAAGGGCAGGTAAAGAAGCACAAGGGCTTAACCTAATAAAGTTAATTAAAAAGCTTGGTAATCAAGGAAAGAAGCAGGTATATGATATTGACAGAGGTGCTACAGAGCAGGAACCTGCTGTTCTTTCTTCATTCCTTGCTCTTGTTGGGGAGTCAACAAAAATCTTGTGGCTTCTCCCAGTAATCTCAATCAGAAGGAAATTCACTCTTTGAGTTCTTCATTTTATTTGCACTAGATATGAGTGGAAATAATGGCCAAGAAGAAACTAAGGACCTGACTCTTTCTGATATGAACAAAGGGTATAGGGCCACACACTGAATTGGGGCAGCACTGACGCCCAAAGGAGTTTCTTCACGGAAATGGAATACCATTCTCACTGTGCTTGTATGAGGTATTTAAACCTCAGAAATGATAGCCTAGCCCATGTGTTATTAAAAAAGAGTGCCCACTGGCTCAGCTGCTCTTCCCTGCCCCTGCAGCTACTGCCTTCCCTCACCATTCACAAGGCTATATAGAGTGGTGGAGAAAAAACAGCCCCAGCTATAACTTAGAAGGGAAAGCATACTGGGCCATGGGGTACATTAGAGAGCATGTCCAAGAAGTCTTCAACATTGCCAGAACAAATATGGTATCTTGACTGCCAGCAAAGCATGAACTAGATGAAAAGAGTAAAAGCATGACATCTGTGTGAACGTTACAGACTAAAAGCAGAAATAGAGAAGCGTATGTAAAAGATAGTAGCCGAGCTTAGAGAGGGCTGCCCAGGTGGCTTAGTGGTAAAGACTCTGCCTGCCAGTGCAGGAGACACAGGAGGCATGGGTTTGACCCTGGGTCAGGAAGTTCTCCTGGAGAAGGGCATGGCAACCTACTCCAGTATTCTTGCGTGGAGAATCCATTGAACGGAGGAGCCTGGCAGGCTACAGCCTGTAGGATCCCAAAGAGTTGACCATGACTGAAGCAACTTAGCACACAGGCACTCAAGCTTAGAGAGCTTTTGCTTTATGTAGTATTACAGTTTCATAAGAACACTTCAGTAGAGTAGACTAGGTGGTAGGACAGTGAAGCGAGATTTGAAAGGAAATTTCAGCTAGAAACAAATCAGTGGATAATTAACATCAAACCTCATCTGAGTTAAGCTCTCAGATTTCAGGAATAAAGGCAAAACAACTCTGTAACAGGTAGAAAAGCTAAATCACCCACAAAGATTAGAAAATCAGGCTCTCCTACAACTTTGGTGTCAGAAAACGGAAGAGTGATATCCACAAAATGCTGAAGCAGGGAACAGCATTAACTAAAGAAGCATTAACTGCATTAACTGAAGAAGAGCGCAGATACAAATTCATGAGCCCTTCTTGAAAAAAAACTGCTTGTTCACACAATCCAGTTAGCAAATGTGTTTTAATCAGAATAAAAAATGCAACAACTCTGTAGTGAAAGATCTGGTGGTGAAGCACAACCCATTTAAATAAAGATCTATGTGCATTCTGTGCAAATTATGGTTATAGGCTCTGGAACAACTGAAATTCTGACCAAGTCAGGAGCAAGCCTGATTATGTGTACTTTAAAAGAAAAGAAAAAAACCCACATGAAAACTTGATGTAAGGTTTGAGAAACTCAGCTAATCTTACAGTTTTGGTCCAATGATTATGGGGCCTTTGGGCAAGTTAGGATGAGTTTATCAACATCTCTCTCCTCTGCCTTTAGTTCAGTTCAGTTCAGTCGCTCAGTCGCATCCAACTCTTTACGACCCCATGAATCGCAGCACGCCAGGCCTCCCTGTCCATCACCAACTCCTGGAATTTCTCAGACTCATGTCCATCGAGTCAGTGATGCCATCCAGCCATCTCATCCTCTGTCATCCCCTTCTCCTCCTGCCTCCAGTCCCTCCCAGCATCAGGGTCTTTTCCAATGAGTCAACTCTTTGCATGAAGTGGCCAAAGTATTGGAGTTTCAGCTTCAGCATCAGTCCTTCCAATGAACACCCAGGACTGATCTCCTTTAGGTCTCCTTTAGGATGGACTGGTTGGATCTCCTTGCAGTCCAAGGGACTCTCAAGAGCCTTCTCCAACACCACAGTTCAAAAGCATCAATTTTTCAGTGCTCAGCTTTCTTTATAGTCCAACTCTCATATCTATACATGACCACTGGAAAAACCATAGATGGACCTTTGTTGGCAAAGTAATGTCTCTGCTTTTTAATATGCTATTTAGGTTGGTCATAACTTTCCTTCCAAGTAATAAGTGTCTTTTAATTTCATGGCTGCAATCACCATCTGCAGTGATTTTGGAGCCCAGAATAATAAAGTCAGCCACGCTACTCAACCATTAATCCTAATACCTGGCAGCCATCAGTAGCTCTCCTTCACTTACTGCAGTAACAGAGGCTGGTTATTCTTGCTTACAGTATGTTAGAAACAAAGTCCTACCCAGCATTGTCACATATACTGAGGCGGTGATCTTCAAACCTAAAGGTGTCTGCAAATTATATGTGAAACAGGACTCCAGCTATAGAAATTTATGTTTTAAGTTTTTAAATAAGCTTAGATTTTAAATAAGCTAATATGATAAAAATATTGAATCTGAGTGATGTGAGAAAAGAGCATTGTTGTTTTTTTTTTTAGCTTTTTGAACTTTAAGTAGCTCATAGAGAGAGAAAAACTAGAGAAACAGAAAGGGACAGAGGCAGGTACAAAGTGAACCTAAACAAAGTATCACCATAGCATCTTGTTGAGAGATATCTAGAACCACCTGTGGACATTCTGAGTCACTCATCTGGAGTGGCTCTGGAACCACTATGTGAAATACATGGTTAAGAACAAGGTTGGTTACCCACTAGATGCTGAAAACGAAGTTTGCCCTTGCTCTTCTCCCTTCTTGAGGGGATTCTTATCCAGTTTGAAGACAAGGTATTGTTTCTACTCTACCAGTCTTATAACAGCCCCTACCCTCAAGCTAATATGAGATATTCTTTTCTCGCACCACCCTCCCCCACCCCCGCAAATAGCATAATTTCATCAAAGCACCACATTTTCTGTCCTGTAATTGTTTACATTTCTGCTGTAGGAAATCTTAAAGGGTGCAACCTCCATTCTTTTTTGTATCCCAATACAGGATTGTATTACATGACAGATAATAGTCACTAAACTGCTATATATATGACAAGGATGGATGCATGCATTGTATTTAGGAAGAGAAACTGTTTCCACTTTGTCTGGGAATGGTTTTTCAGACTTTGTGTTACTCATTTGGAGGACAGCGTTTGTAACTTGCCTACACTGTATTTAAGACTATATAATATAACTTGATTTTTTTAAAAAGATTTATTTATTTTTGGCTGCTCTAAGTCTTTGTTACTGAGCATGGGCTTTCGCTTGTTCTGGTGATCAAGAGCTACTTTTCGTTGCAGTGAGAAGGCTTCTCATTGCGATAGGCTGTGTGGAGCACAGGCTTAGTAATTGTGGTGCTTGGGCTTAGGTGCCCCGTGGCATGTGGAATCTTCCTGGATGAGGAATCAAACCCATGACCCCTGCATTCACAGGTGATTCTTAGCCACCTGCCCACCAGGGAAGTTCCTATGACTTGATTTAATTTCCTGTTAGTAGCTCAATGTGTCAATATGTAATCCCGTTCACGTAACCAGACTGCATTGATTACACCTTTTGAAACTACAAATAGCAAACTTATGCAGTAATATGTTGTGAAAGTGAAAGTCGCTCAGTCGTGTCCAACTCTTTGCAACCCTATGGACTGACTATACGTCCATGGAATTCTCCAGACCAGAATACTGAAGTGGGTAGCCTTTCCCTTCTCCAGGGGATCTTCCCAATGCAGGGATCGAACCCAGGTCCCCTCATTGCAGGCGGATCCTTTACCAGCTGAGCCACTGGGGAGGCCCAGTAACTTACAGTGTATCTAGGTTATGGTGAGTCAGCTTTCAAACTAATCTTAGCGAAATCCCATGTGGATGTCTGGTCTTACAAAAGAAAGAAAGAAAGAGAGAAAGATAGTGCTATGTCCAACTCTTGGGATCCCACGAACTGCAGCCCGCCAGGCTCCTCTGTCTGTGGAATTCTCCAGGCAAGAATACTGGAGTGGGTGGCCATTTCCTTCTCCAGGGGGTCTTCCTGACCCAGGAATTGAACCCAGGTCTCCCGCATTGCAGGCAGATGCTTTACCGACTGAGTTACTCAGGAAACATGCCTTATAAAAGGTTGCAGCCTTACTCTAAATGTTTAAAGATATTTTTAAATGAAAAAGAAGTAGAACTAAGGGAGCAAATAATGCTTGTCAACATAAATATGTAAATAAAATAAAAAATGTATCCAGTACTGGTATTGATATCATTCTAAAGTTATATGTTTATATCCATTTTAAATCTTAAGCAAATAGTTTCAGTGTGCAGTTGGGTTCAGTTTTTTTGCTGCTGATTGACTAACCAAATAATGTGGTTATCCCCAAAGATATGATGTGAATCTGATAATTTTCTACTATGAACCTAAAATGGTAATTTTGTGCATATTTGTGTGTATCTCAGTTTACTAGGTAACAGCATCCTGAAAATAAATTTATACCTAAAAGGGAAACATTATTTTTTTGAAGTACATAGGTGCATAAAATTTTAGAGACTAAAAAACAGTTTCTTCTCTGACCTAAAGCAAACATGAAGTTTGGAAGATATTCTCCTTTGTATGTATTAACTCTCTTTTCTCTGTATTAATAAAATTAATTTTATTTCTTCTGATTCAAACCTCCTAGACCCAGAATTCCAGAGCTAGAAGAATCCTTAAGAATTTATCTAGTCTGATTGACCAGGCTAGTTAATGGCTTGGTCAGATTTAGAATCTAGAACTCCACTGTAATCTCTTCTTTGCTACTGATGCTTATGCTTGTGTTTTTGTTTTTTAGGTGACAGCACTTCAAGATGAAAAGAATTCACTGGTTTCTGAGAACGAGATGATGAATGAAAAACTTGACCAGTTGGATGGATCTTTTGATGATCCAAATACAATGGTTGCAAAAAAATATTTTCATGCACAGTTGCAACTAGAACAATTACAGGAAGAAAACTTCAGGTAGCATTTTTAATAGGAATCATTCTATACAGTTTTATTAAACTAGTAGCTAAAAATCATAATAGCAACAACTGATGATTAAGCATTACAACACATGTTTAGAATACTAAGTGGATGAAAATACTGTCTAGTATAAGTGGTTCCTGTCCTTGTAAGGCTAACAATACAGTTAAACAAGTGGGATACATATATAAAAAGCAAAACAATTCAAAATAATGTGTGATGAGGGCCAAACAAAGGCCATAAGCAAGTCCACAAGGATTTAAAAGAATGTTTGCTGAAACCTGGGGAAGAGGAATTTTTGCATAGGAGAGGGAACTTGATAATAAGTGGAAAAAAATATAAACCTCACCCTAAAAGGATATTTTTCATATCAACTTTTATATTTCTTCTTTTGGGAAAAAAAAGTGTACATCTAACCTTTGATAAACATTATCTTTTTGTGTGCTTACCTCTGAGCCCTGCAGTGTAAGGCCCTGATAAATAGGCGCTCCAGTTGCATTGTATGTGGTTTTTTGTTACTTTATTTTGGTATGATTTGAGACTTACTGAAAAAAGTTGCAAGAATAAGACAGGGAGCTTCTGTATATCTCTCATTCAGATTCGACATTTGTTTTACAGTTCTATTCATTTGTTTTAGCAGTCTCTTTACATAGTCACATGTGTATATATGTTTTGTTTTTTGAACCATCTTAGAGTAAACTGGAGACATACTGCTTTACCCCTATGTACTTCAGTGTGTTTTTCCTAAGAACAAAGATATTCTCTTATAAACCACAGCATAGTGATCAAAATTAGTGATTGATCTTTGAAACAAATCATCTAATCTACAGATCATATGCAAATTCTATCAGCTATCTCAGTATCCTTAAAACTTAAGTTTTTTCTTGTTTCAGAATCTAATCCAGGATCGTGCTTTGCATTTAGAAATGGATTCTTACTCAATGGACTATAATTCCATTACTACCATCATTTATTTTTATGTTTAAATTGTCCCAGATTTGACCACTGAGGAGCCTTTCAATTAGCCATGTGTCTTTACAATATGTTGCTATCCTTCTTTGAGTATTTTCTTCTTTCTGGTACAACAAAATGTTCCAGACTCTAATTGTTCTTCCTCAACTCTAGAGTCAGCCATTTCTCCAGGAAGTCCTGATTCCTTTTAGTGGAGAATTCTCCACTAAAAAGAGAAATCTATGATCTAGATGAATTTTTCTGTCTAGATTTATTCTCCGCTAAAAACAAAGGTCTATGGTCTCAGTTCAGTTTAGTCACTCAGCTGTGTCTGACTCTTTGCAACCCCACTGACTGCAGCATGCTAGGCTTCCCTGTCCATAACCAACTCCCAGAGCTCATTCAAACTCATGTCCATGGAGTCGGTGATGCTATTCAACCGTCTCATCCTCTGTCATCCCCCTCTCCTCCTGCCTCTGTCTTTTCCAGTGAGTCAGTTCTTCACATAAGGTGGCCAAAGTATGGGAGTTTCAGCTTCAGCATCAGTCCTTCCAATGAATATTCAGGACAGATTTCCTTTAGGATGGACTGCTTGGATCTCCTTGCAGTCCAAGAAACTCTCAAGAGTTTTCTCCAATGCTGCAGTTCAAAAGCCTCAATTCTTAGGCGCTCAGCCTTCTTTATGGTCCAACTCTCACATCCATACATGACTACTGGAAAAACCATAGCTTTGACTAGATGGACCTTTGTTGGCAAAGTAATGTCTCTGCTTTTTAATATGCTGTCTAGGTTGATCATGGCTTTTCTTCCAAGGATGGTCTAGATGAATTTTTCTGTCATTGCTTCTGGGCCACCTTGGTGTACAGAGCTAGGAAATACACTTGTACAGGTTCATACCAGTTCATGATTGCACACATGTGTCTATGCATATATCCATCTATTTTCATAGCTACAATTATGAACAGTGAATTCATATTATCATCTTCCATTTCAGTCCAGTGACTTCAGGGTACATTCTGATTTTCTGCATTTCCATATTGTAACTCCCTTCACCAACATTGAGAAACCTGACTTCCATTTTCCTCAGCAGATTTATTCATTTACTCAATCCCAAAACACATTTGAAGTAAGAATTGCTAATCCATGCCTTCTATAAAAAGGTAATGCTACAGTGCAAACTAATGCTACACTTCAGTATGTTTACAATTCTTTTTTTTTAAGATAGCGTTTACATACTGTGAGTTGAGTGAATAGCACTGTTTGACATCTTTTATTAAAAGCATAAATTTGTGTAACTCACGGTTTTATCATTTGATAAATCATTTCTGTCACTACAGAAAGTTCCCCTATCTATGTCCCTTCCCAGATAACCCCTATGTCCCAGAGACTCTTCCAATTATTTTCCGCTATAGATGTCTTTTCTCTCATCTAGAACTTCTTAGAATTGTAACATGAATTCTTTGGTGACTGGCTTCTTTTGCTCAGCATATTTGTGAAATCTACCGATGTTGCTGAATATATCAGTTCATTTTTTTGAATTACTGAGTAGTATTCTGCTAAATGGAATTATTGCACATTGTAACACATTTTGCTTATTCATTTTCCTTTAGATGGACATTTGAGTTTCCAGATTTTGGCTAATATAAATAAAATGGATATGAACATTGGAATATAAAACTTTTGTGAACATATTTTTTCATTTCTCATTGGCAATTACATAGAGTGGCATTGCTGAATCACACATTATATTTAAAAGATACCAGCAAACCATTTCCCAAAGTGGTCGTATTGTTTTGCATTCCCACCAGCAGTGCTTGCTGCTGGTTGCTCTAGTTACTCTGCCTGTATAACGTAAGTTGGCCTTATCAGTCTTCTTTTTAGTTATTCCAGGGAATGGGTTAAGAGTGTTGAATTGTGGCTTTAATATGCATTTTCCTGATAACTAATGATAATGGTAAGCACCTTTTCATGTGCTTATTTGCGCTATATTTTACTATGTGAATTGTCTCTCTACACTGTTAGCCTATTTTTAAATTGGATTGTTTGTCTTTTTTACTGAGTTGTAAGAGTTTAAAAAATATATATTCTGGTTATAGAATCTTTGTCAGATATGCATGTAATAATATTTCATCCTTTCTGTAGCTTGCCACTTCATTTTTCAAATGGTATCTATCAAGAATTAAAGTTCTTAGATGAAGTCTGATTTATCAATATTTTTAAGATTAGTGCTTTTCATGTACTGTCCAAGAAATCTGTCTACTCCCTAGTCATGAAAATACTCTAGTATTTTCTTCTAGAACCTTTATAGTTTTATCTTTCACAGTTAGGTCTGTGATCCATCTTGAATTGATTTTTTTTTTAAATAGTATAATATGTGGGTGTCAGACTTTACTTTTATTTCCCTTAGGCGTATCCAGTTGTTCCAGTATCATCAGGTGAAAAGATTTTTATTTTATTCCATCAAATTGCTTCGGCACCTTTGTGAAAAATGATATAGCCATAAAATGTGGGTCATTTTCTGAACTCAGTTCCTTCCTGCTGATCAATTTGTCTGTCTTTAGCCCATAAGACATGATCTTGATATTTATTTGTCTGTTTTTGGCGGTGCTGGGTCTTTGTTATTGTGTGGGCTTTCTCTAGTTGTGGAGAGTTGGCAGTACTCTCTGGCTGTGGTAGTCGTGGAGAGTGGCAGATACTCTAGTTGTGTGCCAGCTTCTCACTGTGGTGTCTTGTTTCGGAGCACGGGAGCTAGGCGCACGGACCAGGAGTTGTGGCACGTGGGCTCTAGAGCACAGGCCCGACAGTCATGGCACACGGGCTTAGTTGCTCTGCTGCATGTAGGATCTTCCTGGATCAGGAATCAAACTTGTGTCCCCTGCATTGACAGGCAGATTCTTTACCACTCAGCCACCAGGGAAGCCTGCTGTAGAGTTTTTAAATTGGCTTTTTATCAGATTGAAAGAGTTCTCCTTTATTTCTGCCTTGCTAAGAGTTTTTATCATTTATCAGTGTAGATTTTTGTCTTAGGACTTCTGTGCATCTTGAAAAAAGATGGTTTGGTTTTTCTTTTTTACTCTTTTAATATGATTAATTTTTGAATGTTAAAAAAATTTGTATTCCAGAGAAAAACCACCTTGGTCATATTTTCTTATCTTATACACATATGACTGGATTTGATTTGCTGATATTTTGAAAGTATTTTTGTGTCTTGTCTTTATAATAGATACTGGTCTATAACTTTTTTCTCTTGTAATGTCTTTCAGGTTTTGTTATCAGAGTTCTACTAGTCTCATAGAATAATTGGGAAATACTCTCTCCTCCTCTATTTTCTGAAAGAGTTTATGTAAGAATGACATTATTTCTTCCTTCAATATTTGATAGAATTAATCAGTAAAACAATTGGATCTGTGGTTTTCTTTGTGAAAGGGCTTTTAATGACGCATGTAATTTCTTTAATGGTCATAGGCTTTTCAGATTTTCTGTTTCATATTATGTCAATTTCCTAAATTGTTTTTTTCAAGGTATATATTTATTTGATTTAAATTGTTTAATTTATTGGCATGAAGTTTTTCATAATATTCTATTTATGGTCCCTTTAATGATTGTAGGAGCTGTAGTGGTGTTTCCTTTTTCATTCTTGATGTTGGTAATTTGTGTTTTCTTTCATTTTTCTTGGTCACCCTTGCTAGAGGTTCATCAATTTTATTAATCTTACACCCTTTATTAATCCAACAGCCTTTATTAGTTTCCCATAGTGTGAGTTTTAGATCTTTGTTCTTTATTCCTTTCCTTTTACTTACTTTGGATTTGATTTGCTCTTCTTTTTCTAGCCTCCTAAAGTTAGATGATTGATTTTAAGCATTTCTTTATTTCTTTTATAAGCCTTTAAAACTGTAAATTTCTCTGTAAGCACTGGTTTAGCTGTGTCCCTAAAATTTGATTGATTGCATTTCTGTTATTATTCAGTTCAAAATATTTTCTAATTTCCTCTCTGATTTCTTCTCTGACTCAGGAATCATTTAGAAATGTATTTTTTAATTTCCAAATATTTAAGGCTTTTCTCAAAACTTCTCATTGTGACTGATTCCTAATTTAATTTCCTTGTGGTTAGAGAATATAGTCCATAAGACTTCATTCTTTTTAATATTTATGATACCTATTGTGATCATCACATGTGTTATTGCAGTGAATATTCCGTGAGTACTTGCAAAGGATGTGTATTCTGTAATTTTTTACTGACATGTTTCACAAATATTTATTATATCAAGCTGATTAGTAGGGTTATTCAGATTTCTTCTGTATTTGACATTTTTGGTTAGTTCTTTCATTTATTGGGAGACTGATGTTAACATTCTTGACAATAATTATGGATTTGTAGATCTCAGATCCTGTCAGTTTTTGCTTCATCTCTTTTAAAATTTTATTTTCTGTTATATATAATTTTTTGATATGTCTTTCTGATGGATTGACCTTGTTATAATTGTGAAATATCTATACCTTTGGTAATACTTTTTGTGTTAAACCATTTTTTTGATGTTAATATAAATATCCCAGTTTTCTTTGCTTATTATTTGCATGATACTTATTTTCATCTTTTTACTTTTAACCTCTTGTGTCTTTATATTTAAAATGTTTCTTCTAACTAGTATATATTTGAGTGTTGCTTTCTTATCCAGTCTGATAGTTTCTGCCTTTTTAATTGGTGTATTTAGTCCTTTTGAGCTTTACATAATTTTTGATATGGTTGTGCTTCAGGTCTGTCAGTTTGCTATTTTTTATTTGTCATATCTGTTCTTGTGTTTATTTTTCTTTTCTGCATTATTGTCAGCTGATCAAGTAATTTCTTAATATTTTTATCACTATATAGTCATTTTAGTTTTTGTTGTTGCTCTTCGGTTTAAAGTATTTATTCTTTATCACAGTCTATACTTAGAGTTCATATTTCACCACTTTACATGCTATGTACATTTTTGGGTAACTTTACATGGTTTCTCTTTTTCTCTTGAAATTAAAATTTCTGTTTGAAGTAGAGAACCAGGCTCAGTGTTTCAGAGTGATAATGAAAATTCAGAACATCACTGGCTTATCAGTTCTTACAAGTAACCACACTAATGAAAGATGTTAATAATAAGGGAAACTAGGGAATGAGATGACCGTGAGGGAATATATGGGAACTTCGTACATTCTGTTCAGTTTTTCTGAAAAAAAGTCTATTAATTTTTTTAAGTAAAAAAAATCATTTGACCATAAATGTTAAGAGTTTACTTTTGGACTTTTAATTGTCATTGATCTATATGTCTAGCTTTATGGTAGTATGATACTATCATGATTACTGTAGCTTTGTAGTAAATTGGAAAGTATGACTTCTCCAACCTTTTTTTTTTTTTAAGCTACTGTTTTAAAACTAAGGACTAGAAAGTAGCTTATTCCTTTAGTTTTTCTTTTGAATGTGGAATCAAAGGAACATTTTAGAAGTAAGTTTTGCTAAGCTCATGTCTCAGTAAAAAAACAAATAATGGAAATTACATTATAAATACTTGTTTTGTTTATGCAAGGCTTGAAGCTGCAAAAGATGATTACCGTGTTCACTGTGAAGAACTTGAAAAGCAATTAATTGAATTTCAACATAGGAATGATGAATTGACTAGTCTTGCTGAGGAAACAAGAGCCCTGAAAGATGAAATAGATGTTCTTAGGTATGGCATGTCTAAATATAATTGTGTCACTTCTCATTTTGGTATTCTATATATTAATTAAGGAATCTTACAGTTATACCTGTGTATCAAGTATTGATCAGTTTTTACCCAAGTTCCTAGTCTTTACTTCTTTTATGTTTGTTGATAGTTATGTGAAGTTTCAGGATAATATTTGATTCCTGTTAGGAGAGATTTTCGTATTAGAACCATAAACCTTTTTCTTATTTCTGATTAAAGAAAACGATACCTTTTTCTTAAAAATTTGTAAGCTGAGTTATTTTTAGGTGCATTTGACTTGACCTTCATGTACTTATTAGTACATCTTGTGAAATTTTTGTGTAAGAAATGTATTCTCACAAACCATATTTTGACATTTGATTAACTATAGACAAGAATCCTAGCATTTATTTCAAGATTATCCCAGGTTCTCTTATTGTCTTTGACAGTACAAAGTTTATAATGAGCTTTGCCTGTGAAATGTTAAGCAAAGAATCTGTTTAAATGATTTTTTTATTTTGTTAATTTTTCTTAATTAGGCATTTTCTTACAGGCTTCAATGTTTTTTTAAAAAACAAAATCTTTATAAGCATTAATTTTAACCTTCATGTGATATTGAAGTGATTCTGTTTATTTTTTCTCCATCCCGTTTGTCAGGTGTGCACAACTCTAAAGGGAAGTGCTCTGCCAAACAAATTATAAATTCAGTCAACTTCCTGAATGTATCAAATACTTAAACTGCATTAGATATTATACACAGAGCACAACTGGCCTGTAAGCTTACAGGCAGCTCAGAATTATTCATCTATGTTTGTAAAACCGTCCTTTTTTTGTAAATTGTTGTGATATGTAGAATCGTTTGATAATACAGTGTGACAAATTTCGAGCATTTTATTTTGATGACTTTATAACAGAAGGGTTGAACTTTCTGAGTCCGTTTCAAGATTTCTCACAAAGTTAATGATTTCTTTTCTCTGTCCCCCTCATTTTTTTTAACCAGTTGATAGTTCATTTGGAAGACTCGTTTTACAGCCAGAATAACACTGTTATGTGCATTTACTTGTTTTTACAAAGTAATGTTTAATCTTTGTTATTATAGAGCTACCTCTGATAAAGCAAATAAACTGGAGTCTACAGTTGAGATATATCGTCAGAAGCTACAAGATCTGAATGACCTTCGCAAGCAGGTGAAAACTTTACAGGAAACAAACATGATGTACATGCATAATACAGTCAGCTTAGAAGAGGAATTAAAGAAGGCAAATGCTGCACGCACACAATTAGAAACATACAAGAGACAGGTAAGAAAATATCTAAATTTTTTAAATCAGTAAAATTGAAAGAGTGTACCTTTTCACTCCTTTAGAAGGATGTAGCAGTGACTAAACACTGTGCTGCATTCGTGTCTGACTCTTTGCAACCCCATGGACTGTGTAGCCCGCCAGGCTCCTCTGTCCATTGGGATTCTCCAGGCAAGAATACTGGAGTGTGTTGCTCTGCCCTCCTCCAGAGGATCTTCCCAACCCAGGAATAGAACCCATGTCTCACACATTGCAGGTGGATTCTTTGCCATCTGACCCACCAGGGAAGCCCAGAAATACTGGAGTGGGTAGTCTATTCCTTCTCCAGTGAAACTTCCCAACCCAGGAATCAAACTGGCGTTTCCTGCATTTCAGGTGGATTCTTTACCCACTGAGCTACCCAGTAAACCCCGAATAAACACTATTTGTAGTCAGTTGTGTCCTTATTATCACATGTATCTTCTATCTGTAATTTAATTCAAGAGTTGATCATTGAATTTGTGTTTTCTACGTCTTTTGGACTTCCCTGATAGCTCAGTCGGTAAAGAATCTGTCTGCAATGCAGGAGACCCCAATTTGATTCCTGGGTTGGGAAGATCTGCTGGGGAAAGGATAAAGTACCCACTCCAGTATTATTGGGCTTCCCTTGTGGCATTTTTATTAGCTTCTGAGCTTGTATACTTTTGGAATATTTTATTGTTTCAGTAACATTTCTGATAATCAGGGAAAATACCTAGAGAATGCACTTATAACCTAAAATATTCTCTTTTGCTATTTATCAAACACCCTAGAGTAATGGTAGAAGACTGATTTTTTTTTTTTGCTAAATTATTATTTGTGTATTTTAAAACTTATGTTAATTTTTTTATTTACATGCCATTTCCACGAATATTTAGAATTAGACTATAATCTTACTATAAATTTTATTTTCAGTTTTTCATTTATTGATCTCTGAAATGCTATCAATATTATAAACTCTTACTTTCTACTTTTGTTTCTGATAAAAGGTTCAGGATCTTCATGTTAAACTTTCCTCTGAATCCAAAAGGGCGGACACACTAGCATTTGAAATGAAGCGGCTTGAAGAAAAACATGAAGCCTTACTTAAGGAAAAAGAGGTAAACATAAATATAATTGATGTGTAATATGTATGTCCTGTTTTAGTTTTAATATTATCCTCGCTGTTTTAAGAATGGAAATGATGTAACCAGTTCTTCTTTCTCCAAATTGAAATTAGTGATGTAAAAGAAAGTCTTGTAGAAATTCTTTATGCAGTTTTGTAAGTTTTCTTGATATGGTAAGATGAAGTCGTGTCTCAGTGCATGTGTTCCAGTTCTGGACTGTCAACTCCTTGAAAGCAAGGACCATAGATGCAATTTTTGAAAACTTTATTAGGATATAATTTACATACCATAAATTTCACCTATTTAAAAGCTATGGTTCAATGGTGTTCAGTGTATTCAGTGTTGGAAACCATCATCGTTTTAGAATTCTGTCATCACTCCAAGGAGACCCTGTGCCTGATAGCAGTTATTCTGCATCTGGTCCCTCTTTCCCCAGCCTTAGCAACCATTAATCTACTTGCTGTCTATGAATTTGCCTTGTCTGTCCAGAATATATAACCATACACTTTGTGGGTTTTGTGACTGGGTTCCATTATTTAGCATAATACTTCCAAGGTTTATCAGTGTTGTAGCATGTATCCGTACTTCATTCATTTTTATTGCTGAGTAGTAATCCATTATATGGGTAATACCACATTTTATTTATCTGTTCATCAGTGGAAACAAAGTCCAGTTGGGTTGTTTCCAGATTTTGCCTATTAAATGAATAATGGGGCTCTGAACATTTATGTACAAGTTTTATGTGGACACATGTCTTCATTTCTTGAATATGTGTTGAGGAATGGTATTGCTGGGTCATATGGTAGGTGTTTAACTTTTTAAAGAATTACCAGACTTTTCTAAAGTGAGTGAACTATTTTTCATTCTCACCAGCAGTCTGTAAAAGATTGCAATTTCTCCCAATTCTTGTCAAATCAAATTGAATTTTAATTTTGGCTATCCTAATAGGTATGAAGTGTAGTATATCATTGTTGTTTTGATTTGTGTTTCCCTAATGACAAATGATGTTGAACATCTTTTCATGAACTTATTGACCATTTCTGATTTTATTTCTTTGAGAAATGCCTCTTCAAATTCTTTAGACCATGCTTTGTTTATTATTTGCTTTTTTATTTTTGAGTTCTAAGAGTTCTTTATGTATTCTAGATACAAATCTCTTGTCAGATACATGGTTTGCAAATATTTTCTCCTATTCTGTGAGTCTTCTTTGCAATTTTTAAATGGTGTGTGTGTGTGTGTGTGTGTGTGTATTTATATATAGCAGCAGAATAGTTTTTTATTTCATGAAAACAAAGTTACCTGCTTTTTCTTTTGTGTTTTTTTGGTGGTGTTTCTATGACACCATTGGGTAACCTTAAGGTTATAAAGGTTTATTCCTCTGTTTTATTTTAGGAGTTTTATATTTTTAGCTCTTATATTTACTCTGTGATCAATATTGAATTCATTTTTATGTGGTGTGAGATAGGTTTCTAACTTTCTTCCTTTGCGTTTAGATATTCATTTGTCCCAGCACCATTTGTTGATATAACTGTTCTTTCCCCCACTGAATATTCTTGATACTCTTGTTAAAAATCAGTTGACATGGTGCTGTAATGATGGATATATTATACCTTTGTCAAAACTCATAAAACTGAAACAAAGAATGTACCCTAATGTAGACTATGTCCTTCAGTTAATAACAGTGTATCACTTTTGGCTTATCAGTTCTTACAAGTAACCACACTAATGCAAGATGTTAATAATAAGGGAAACTGGGGAGTTGGGGGAGGGATGATGGGAATTTTGTACTTTCTGTTCAGGTTTTTTTTTTTTTTTTAAGCCTATTAATTTTCTTAAAATAAAAAGAAATCATTTGGCCACAAATGTTAGAGTTTATTTCCGGATTTTGAATTGTCACTGATATATATGTCTAACTTTATGGCAATACCACACTGTAATGATTACTGCAGCTTTGTATTAAGTTTTGAAATTGGAAAATATACTCATTTGAAATACGTTCTCCAACTTTTTCTTTGGAAAGCTATTGTTTTGATTATTCTGGGTCTCTAGCATTTCATATAAATCTAAGGGTCAGATTAATGTTTCTGCAAAATATCCAGATTGAAATATTGATAGGAATTTCCTGAAGCTGTTGATCAGTTTGGAAACCTGGCCACCTTAATAGCATTAAGTTTTCTGATCCATTAATATGGCATAACATTCCATATATTTATGTCTTTAGTTTCTTTCAACAATGTTTTGTAGTTTTCATTTTGTAAGATTCGCACCTGATAGAACTACTCATGAGTGTTTTATTCTTTCTGTCAGTGCTAACATATAGAAATACAATTTACTTTTGGACATTGGTCTTGTATTTTACTTACATCCTTGTTGGATTCCCTTAGTATTTCTAATAGTTTTTAGTGAATTAGTATTTTTATATACAAAATCAGGACATTTGTAAATACAGATAGTTTTATTTATTCTTTTGCATTCTGAATGTCTTTTATTTCTTGTCGAATTATCCTGGCTAGAACCTTCAGTACTTTGTTGAATAGAAATAGCAAGGTGAGAGTATCTTTCTCTTGTTTCCAATATTAGGAAGAAAGCATTCATTCTTTTACCATTATGTGTCTTATTAGTTGTGGATTTTATTTGTAGATTCCTTCTGTCAGGTTAAAGAAGTTTTAATTCCTAATTTGTTTCATGTTTTTATCCTGAAAGGGTTCTGTATTTTGTCAACTGCTATTTCTGGGTCAGTGGTATGACACATAGTTCTTGTCTTTTACTGTATTGGAATTTCAGCTTCAGCATCACTCCTTCCAATGAACACCCAGGACTGATCTCCTTTAGAATGGACTGCTTGGATCTCCTTGCAGTCCAAGGGACTCTCAAGAGTCTTCTCCAACACCACAGTTCAAAAGCATCAATTCTTCAGCACTCAGCTTTCTTTTTAGTCCAACTCTCACATCCATACATGACCAGTGGAAAAACCATAGCCTTGACTAGACAGACCTTTGTTGGCAAAGTAATGTCTCTGCTTTTTAATATGCTATCTAGGTTGGTCATAACTTTCCTTCCAAGGTGTAAGAGTCAATTTCACGGCTGCAGTCACCATCTGCAGTGATTTTGGAGCCCCAAAAGATAAAGTGAGCCACTGTTTCCACTGTTTCCCAGTCTCTTTGCCATGAAGTGATGGGACTGGATGCCATGATCTTAGTTTTCTGAATGTTGAGTTTTAAGCCACCTTTTTCACTCTCTTCTTTCACTTGCATCAAGAGGCTGTTTAGTTCTTCTTCACTTTCTGTCATGAGGGTGGTATCAGCTGCACTTTCTGTCATGAGGGTGGTACCATCTGCATATCTGTCATGAGGTTATTGATATTTCTCCTGGCAATCTTGATTCCAGCTTGTGCTTCTTCCAGCCCAGTGTTTCTCATGGTGTACTCTGCATATAAGTTAAATAAGCAAAGTGCCAATATACAGCCTTGACATATATTGAGAAAATGTTCCTGTATTTTTGGTTTTACCACACTTAAAGTCTTTGTCTAGTATGTCCACCCACTAGTGTCATCTCATTGACTCTTTCTGTTAACTGTTTTTTTTTTCCCCTGTATAGGAATTTCTCTATTTCTTTGCATGTTTTTTTTTGTTGTTGTTTTTGAAAATATAACCTTTAAAATAATAATGTGTTTCAACTCTGGAAATCAGATTTTCCCCAACCTCAGGGTTTTTGTTTTTGCTGGTTTTTTAGTGACTCTTTTGGACTAATTCTATGAAGTTTTTTTTCTTTGTAATGTGCAGCCACTGAATTCTCTGCTCAATAACCATTGCAATCAGTTAATGATTTGTCAGGTGTTTCCATAGATCTCCCAATCTTTGCCAAAGGACTCAATGTGTATTTATTTTGGAAAACATCTTCAATTCTTAGAAAGTTTACAACTCTGCCTTTGCATTTATGCTTCAAGTTTTTCCAGAGCTGAGACATTGGGGTCCTCTCGGGTTATTTCTGGGTGTACACACAGCTCTGTACATAGCTGACCTCCTGGGTCTCCATATGTCAGGACTTTTAACCTCCTCTATCCTTATCATGTTTCTCAGCTCTTCCTCGTAAATTTTTGGCAAGAGTCTTGTTTGCCTTAACTGGCATCATGCCTTCAGCAGCTATAATGAAAGCAATTGCTGATGATTGTTTTTTTACAGATGCCTGAGGAATATTTTCCTGCACAGCAAGCACCAAATTAGCTCAAATAATGAAACGCATGATTGGGATTTCTCCAAGGTGCTGCTTGAGAGACCAAATAGTGATAGTTTTCTAAGCATGGGGCTTTTTAAGAAGAGTTTCATAGCTAGTCAGCCCCTCCAGGTGGTGGTAACATCTGCTTTTCAAAGCTACTCAAGGCTACTCCAGGGTTGGGGAGAGGGCGATAGTAATCAGGATAGTTAAAGAACAAAAAGCTCACTGTTCTGAGGTTCAGCACATTTTCTTTAATAAGTGCTGCTCAGGTCATGGCAGACCTTTGGTTAATCTTCATACTTTTTGAAAAGTTGATTTTGACAAATTGCTAGTGTTCACATTGCATTTATGAAGGAACAGATTTATAGGGGTCCTGATGCCTGACTGTACTTATAATTTACAGTGTTCAGAGATCCCTAGAGCATCTGTACACACTGGCCTAAGGACCCTTGGAAGCAGTTACCAGTTTACTGTTAAGTTGATTTGAGCCACATAATGGACCTAATAGGGTTTTATTTATTGATCTGAAGTATAGTAACATTTAAAATTTAAAATACAATTTTATGTTACTTCTCAGGTTCTGGAAAAATCATTTAAACCTGAGACTTTTTTTCAGAGTACAGAACTTTGTCATTGACTGTCAGCTGTAAAATAAAATGAGTTCAGTTCAGTGGCTCGGTCATGTACACCTTTTTGTGACCCCATGCACTGTAGCACACCAGGCCTCCCTGTCCATCACCAACTCCTGAAGCTTGCTCAAACTTATGTCCATCGAGTTGGTGATGCCATCCAACCATCTCATCATCTGTTGTCCCCTTCTCTTCTTGCTTTCATTATTCCCCAGGATCTGGGTCTTTTCCGGTGAGTCAGTTCTTCACATCAGGTGGCCATAGTATTGGAGCTTCAGCTTCAGCATCAGTCCTTCCAATGAATATTCCGGCCTGATGTCCTTTAGGATTGACTGGTTTGATCTCCTTCAAGTCCGAGGGACTCTCAAGAGTTTTCTCCAACACTGCAGTTCAAAGGCATCAATTCTTCGGCACTCAGCTTTTCTTTATAGTCCAACTGTCAAAACCATACATGACCGCTGGAAAAACCATAGCTTTGACTATATGGACCTTTGTCAGTAAAATAATGTCTCTGCTTTTTAATATGCTGTTTAGGTTTGTTATAGCTTTTCTTCCAGGGAGCAAGCATCTTTTAGTTTTATGGCTGTAGTCACCATCTGCAGTGATTTGGGAGCCTGAGAAAATAAAGTCTGTTACTGTTTCCATTATTTCCCCATCTATTTGCATGAAGTGATGGGACTGGATGCTAGAATCTTTGCCTTTTGAATGATGAGTTTTAAGCCAGCTTTTTCACTCTCCTCTTTCACCTTCATGAAGAGGCTCTTTAGTTCCTCTTCACTTTCTGCCACAAGGGTAGTGTCATCTGCATATCTGAGGTTATTAATATTTCTCATGGCAATCTTGATTCCAGTTTGTGCTTCATCTAATCCAGCATCCAGTCCAGTAAAGTAAAATAGCTAATGACATGAAGTCCTAGCATACTATCCCTGGGAGATAGTGTTTTTTCACAGATTCATACTTCCAGTATGCTGTTTACAGTAATTGAAGGAAATAACAAGTCTCTTGCATTTCTTACACACCAGACTGTGTTCTAGATATTGGACAAATTTCTCATTCACTACTCAGAACACCTTTCAGGGGCTTATGAATCAGTGTCCCTGTTTTGATGATAAAGATCTAAAGCCAAAGAGTCAGTAGCTTGCCTTAAATAATACAACTGGAAATAGTAAAACTGAATTCAAGCCGTGCTCTGTTTGCCTGCAAAGTCCACGTGCTTTTATTACTCTACAGTTACATTTTTGTACTCTGTTGTATACTTACATTCATTTGGCTCAAAGGTAAGCTATCTACTGGGAAAATCACAAGCTTTGTGTTGTATAAAGTCTTGTTATTTATGTGATTTATGCAAGAGAAAATTACCCCTTAGCATTAAAACTAAAACGTTGTCATTTTTAACTAAGTAGGGAACAATTATCAAGTTAACATATTAAGATAAATAATCTTAAGTATAAAGTACTTTGCCTTTGGACAGAGTTAAATATTTTGCTTATATAAATAATTCTTTTTTAGAGACTAATAGAACAGCGTGACACTCTGAAAGAAACAAATGAAGAGCTCCGATGTTCACAAGTACAACAGGATCACCTAAACCAAGCAGGTGGATTTCATTGCATTTAGAAAAGGTTTTTTAATGGTAGATATAATGAGATGTTAATCTGTTTTTTTGTTGCTGATATTGTTTAGATGCATCTGTTACAAAAAGTTATGAGAATCTTGCTGCCGAGATTATGCCAGTGGAATATAGGTAAATTTGTTTTTATCAATTGACAACCCATACTTAATATTAGAAATGTGAATTCTTCTTCTCATAATTTTCTGTCTTTATTTTCATTTTTTGAATCATAGAGCTTGAAAATACCTCGTCTCATCTGCTTATACTTTCTAAATCATGCTGTTATTGCTACTATGCCAGTTTAAAAATTTACCAGAAATAAAATTTCACTTACTAGCTGAATAACATATTCTGGTCTTTTGTAATATGGCCTTTATTGTGTAGAACTTATTTTTCTATCCTTAAACTCTTTGGTATCATTTTAAAATGACTGTTATTTAATGGACAAAATTTCCTTTCTTATACTCTAGAAACCCTTTTTAATACATAGTTTTCAAATTCCCAGCAGTGGAAGAAAGTAGGAGATGATCTGTCAATTTCAGGACAAGTAAGCCAGAGTTGAAATACATATTTTAGAGGTTCCTCTTGACCCAAATTTTATTTTGGTATTTTACTGCTGTGTTTACTTCTGGTTATTTGACTTATCTGGTATTTTTATGGTCTTCTTTTCCTTTTTGTGGCAACAGTTTTACTTATTAATTACTTCAAGTCCTACTCTTTATTACTGAGATATAATTCATGCATTTACAAATGGGCAGTCTGGTACTTTTTAGTGTAGTCAGAGTTGTGCAACCATCATCGCTATCTAATTCTAGAACATTTTCATCCTCCCCAAAAGATACCCATTCCTGCCTCCCCTCCAATGCCAGCTCCAGGTAACCAGTAATCTACTCTTTATCTCTGTGGATTTGCTTATTATGGACATTTCATATTTATGGAACCATACAATATGTGGCCTTTTGTGGCTGAATTCTTGCATTTTTCATAGTTTTTATAAGTTGTTGATTTTCACTTTGTTCAGTTTTTTGCTGTTTAGAGCTGCATATGGAAACTAACTTGTACTTTTTAGTTACTAATATCCAGTGATATTAATCATTTAAAAGTAGTCCTGTGAGCCTATATTTTTAAAGTTATCATGCTGGCATTCAGAAGAACAGAAATTGAGATTAATTGAAATTAGTTGCTTTCGGGTAATGGGATTTAGGAAGGCAGCAGCATTATTTTTCATTTAACACCATTCCTATCATTTGTATTTAAAAAAATATATGTATACATACCTTTAATAAAATTTTTTCTAGAAACCAAATTCTAAAGACAGTCATTAGCATAAAGTATATTTAAAAATTTTAGGCAGACTGTAATTTCTTAAATCTATTGCTTTTTCTTCATATGTTTTCTAAGGATGTGCTGTATATTACTTTAATGTGAATAGTTTCTAAATTATCAAAGAAAAATGATTCATATTATCTCTTAGAGAGTTGCATCATAAAGATTTATTGATCTATAATCTTGTACCTTTAAAAATTTACTATTTGGTTTGTGAGACATAGTCTTACAGTGTACATTTTTTTTAAAAGAAAAACTTCTTGAAGGCTTTAGTAACATTTCAAAATGACAGCTGTTGAGTAGATAGAAATTTTCTGTTTTAAAAGCTAAAGAATTTTTTAAACTCTTATATTTAAAAAATTTAAAAAGAAATTTTGATTTTTAACCTCAGGGAGGTGTTCATTCGACTGCAACATGAAAATAAGATGCTTCGATTACAGCAGGAAGGTACTGAGAATGAGCGTATTGAGGAGCTTCAGGAGCAGCTGGAACAGAAGCACCGCAAGATGAATGAATTGGAGACCGAGCAGAGGTGACTGATGCCCTCCTTCATAACGATAACCATTGCCATTTCACTGCCTAGCCACAGAATCTTGATTCACAGAAGTGGAAGATGTCATTGTAGTTCAAATAATTAGGATTTGTGGAAGTTTCAGTTTTTGCTTTTTCACCTCTCACTACCCATTATTCTTAGCAGACTTTGTTAAGCAGTTTGCTTACTCTTGAATTTCACTCATATGTCTTCACAAATGACAGAAAATTTAACAAATGAATAAATGGCAATCTGGGTTTCAACTGCAGTCCCGTGCACAGATGGTACATAGACTATGAAATCAAATTTGAATGCCACCTTTACTTAACTGGGCATTTACTTACATTCACACTTAGTATCCTCAGATATAAATTGCAGATGGCACCTATTTGCAGGTTGTAATGAAGATTACAGATAATGTGTTTAAAACAAATGGTGTACTTATTTGATACCAGTGAGGTGCTTAAAATTTATAAATATTTTTAAAAAATAATGTTTATGTGGTGCTTGGGCTTTCCTGGTGACTCATTGGTAAAGAACCCACCTACCAATGTGGGAGATGTGGATTTGAACCTTGGGTCGGGAAGATCCCTTGGAAATCTCATGAACAGAGGAGCCTGGCAGGGCCACATTTCATGGGGTCACAAAGAGTCAGACACGACGTAGTGACTATACTACAACAACAACATGTGGTGCTTACCAGTGAGCTTCTAAGCTCTTTTTGATATTAATTCATAAATTCTTACAATAACTCTATGAAATAGTAACTATGATCATCTCATTTTATGAACAAGGAAACGGAGGGTGCAAGGACATTAAGAAACTTGCCCAAATCACATAGCTAGTGAGTTCTGGATCCTGCATTTGAACCTTCTGTCAGTCAGACTTCAGAGTCTGTGCTGTTACCACTATTGCTATCCTGCGTCTTACAAATAGCATACTGGCAATAAAAGTATTTGGATTTGTTTGACATACCTTTATTGGATCTGAGAGATCACTAAGAATTTTTGACACTTGAACCTTGTCTGTCAACTTGTATGTGTACTATTACATCAACTGTAGTTAAAAGAAAAATAGCATTTTAGCTTCCTGAAGAGACTATTGAAAGTGAAATTCATTCAGTCGTGTCCGACTCTTTGTGACCCCGTGGGCTATACAGTCCATGGAATTCTCCAGGCCAGAATACTGGAGTGGGTAGCCTCTCCCTACTCTAGGGGATCTTCCCAACCCAGGGATTGAACCCAGGTCTCCTGCATTGCAGGCGGATTCTTTACCAGCTGAGCCACTAGGGAAACCTGAAGAGACCATTAAATATTGCTAATTTATATAATTCAGTATCAGCAGTGGAGATGCTGTTTTAGCTTTTAATATAGGAAGATAGACATGTGAATAGGTAATTATTACATTATGTAATATATATAACAATGGAAAAATGTAGTATTATAGTGAGCAGGGGGTGTTTTGTCATATATATGAAGAGAAAGACAGATACTAAGTGTCTTGCTGGTAACTTCAGTAGAGGTAATGATTAGGCAGGGTTTTAAGGAATGAGATTTTGCCAAGTTAAAAAGCTGCACTACTTGCTAGTGCCCGTCTCTAAAGTCATGAAGAAATGATTGGAAAATGGTGGCCTTCCTTTTCTCGCAATACCCTGTGAAATCTGAAACAAGAAACGGAAACCTAGTTTCCATTCATTAAAAATACAACTGAAGGAAAACTGAGCTAGTTTTATAATTTTTATTCCAGTGAGTTCACTGCAGAAATGTCATGCTTTTGCCACTGACTAATTAGGTACCTTAAACTTTTAAATGTGGACATATATGCTTTTAGGATGAAAATATCTTTTTTAAAGGAATATTTCCTTGAAAGTAGTTTACTATAACATATATTGTACCTAGCCACAGGTAGTTGTTCAGCTTTGGTTGTTGCTATTAAATGCGTACTCTTTGAGTTAAATTGCCTAAATGCACCTGGCTTCCCTGGAGGCTCAGCAGATAAAGAATCCGCCTGCAATGCAGGAGATGTGGGTTTGATCCCTGGGTAGGGAAGATCACCTGGGCAGGACCATGGCAACCGTCTCCAGTATTCTTGCCTGGAGAATCCCAGTGGACAGAGGAGCGTGGCAGACTGTAGTCCATAGCGTCACAAAGAGTTGTAAATGACTGAAGCAACTTAGCACACATGCAGGAATCCTTAACTATTTTGACTTTCAGTACAAATAAAAACGTGTAACCCATCTTATAATAGGCTGAGCAAAGAGCAAATCCGAGAGTTGCAGCAGCAGATTGAGGACCTCCAGAAGTCTTTACAAGAACAAGGCTCCAAGTCTGAAGGCGAAAGTGTAAGTAACTTAAAAATTATGACACTTCTGTTCTGTGTGGACTCTCTAATTGGTCCTGATGCCCAAATTAATCTTATATTTGAAAATAATACCCTTATCATTGGGGGTACCCTTAAATACCGTATATATCTGCATAACAGATGCAGTGACTTTGCCAGTTTGGAGCCTATGAATCAGTAATATGGATTGGAAAGTGATTTGTCTCTGCTGTTCTTCAACAGCTACCCCTTAGATTTATGTAATTCCTGATTGATAGCATGCTACAATTGAACCTTCACAGTAGTGCTGGGATCCCTACAGGACTGGCTTGAGTAAAACCATAATAAGAGTAATTAGCAGTCAGAATTGAGGAAAAGAGAGAGTGAGAAAGTGATTTCTGCCAAAAGACCACTCAGGAAATAGTAGGTCACACCAGCCTCCAAAGGATAGAAATTTAAAAGCAGTCTTGAAGTACATTACCCCTTAATTCTTCCCTCCTTTCATACAGACTCACGGCCTTGCCATTTCTAATGGTTTTATGGTCAATAGTTGTGAGGGTATAGAGATCAGAGAACCTAAAAGAGATCAAACAGTGTAACTGAGTAGACATAGCAGTGTTTCCCTAGTTTGATGTCTGTGCAGAGAGAAGAAGTAGTAATAATTGAGGGAGAATGTATTTAACTAAAACAACAACAAAAAGATAGGATGTGTTAGATAGGTTTTGATTGGATAGAATGTTAGGTGACATACCTGTATTGATGGGGGAGAAAACTATGGAGTGAGTGTAAATAAGATGAAAAGGAAGATTGAAAGGGTTGAGTTTCCTTTCTGTCTTTTATATGCTTTATATGATTTTCTCTTTCTTCCCTGGGGGCTTGGAAAATAGAAATCGTCTCATGCATGGCAGCATCTCATATGTGCATATATACGGTATCGTACCTCTCTAATACAAATAATTTTTTTCCCTTTTTTTAAATTTATTTATTTATTTATTTTTTTTTTATCACAACCATAGTGTATCTTTTTTTTTTACATGTATTCCCCATCCCGGTCCCCCCTCCCACCTCCCTCTCCACCCAATCCCTCTGGGTCTTCCCAGTGCACCAGGCCCGAGCACTTGTCTCATGCACCCAACCTGGGCTGGTGAACTGTTTCACCCTAGATAATATACGTGTTTCAATGCTGTTCTCTTGAAACATCCCACCCTCGCCTTCTCCCAGAGTCCACAAGTCTGTTCTATACATAGGAGTCTCTTTTTCTGTTTTGCACATAGGGTTATCGTTACCATCTTTCTAAATTCCATATATATGTGTTAGTATACTGTAATGGTCTTTATCTTTCTGGCTTACTTCGCTCTGTATAATGGGCTCCAGTTTCATCCATCTCATTAGAACTGATTCAAATGAATTCTTTTTAATGGCTGAGTAATATTCCATGGTGTATATGTACCACAGCTTCCTCATCCATTCGTCTGCTGATGGGCATCTAGGTTGCTTCCATGTCCTGGCTATTATAAACAGTGCTGCGATGAACATTGGGGTACACGTGTCTCTTTCAGATCTGGTTTCCTCGGTGTGTATGCCCAGAAGTGGGATTGCTGGGTCATATGGCAGTTCTATTTCCAGCTTTTTAAGAAATCTCCACACTGTTTTCCATAGTGGCTGTACTAATTTGCATTCCCACCAACAGTGTAAGAGGGTTCCCTTTTCTCCACACCCTCTCCAGCATTTATTGCTTGTAGACTTTTGGATAGCAGCCATCCTGACTGGTGTGTAATGGTACCTCATTGTGGTTTTGATTTGCATTTCTCTGATAATGAGTGATGTTGAGCATCTTTTCATGTGTTTGTTAGCCATCTGTATGTCTTCCTTGGAGAAATGTCTGTTCAGTTCTTTGGCCCATTTTTTGATTGGGTCATTTATTTTTCTGGAGTTGAGCTGGAGGAGTTGCTTGTATATTTTTGAGATTAATCCTTTGTCTGTTGCTTCGTTTGCTATTATTTTCTCCCAATCTGAGGGCTGTCTTTTCACCTTGCTTATAGTTTCCTTTGTTGTGCAAAAGCTTTTAAGTTTCATTAGGTCCCATTTGTTTATTTTTGCTTTTATTTCTAAAATTCTGGGATGTGGGTCATAGAGGATCCTGCTGTGATTTATGTCGGAGAGTGTTTTGCCTATGTTCTCCTCTAGGAGTTTTATAGTTTCTGGTCTTACATTTAGATCTTTAATCCATCTTGAGTTTATTTTTGTGTATGGTGTTAGAAAGTGTTCTAGTTTCATTCTTTTACAGGTGGTTGACCAGTTTTCCCAGCACCACTTGTTAAAGAGGTTGTCTTTTTTCCATTGTATATCCTTGCCTCCTTTGTCAAAGATAAGGTGACCATAGGTTCGTGGATTTATCTCTGGGCTTTCTATTCTGTTCCATTGATCTATATTTCTGTCTTTGTGCCAGTACCATACTGTCTTGATGACTGTGGCTTTGTAGTATAGTCTGAAGTCAGGCAGATTGATTCCTCCAGTTCCATTCTTCTTTCTCAGGATTACTTTGGCTATTTGAGGTTTTTTGTATTTCCATACAAATTGTGAAATTATTCGTTCTAGTTCTGTGAAAAATACCGTTGGTAGTTTGATAGGGATTGCATTGAATCTGTAGTTTGCTTTGGGTAGTATAGCCATTTTGACAATATTGATTCTTCCAATCCATGAACACGGTATATTTCTCCATCTATTTGTGTCCTCTTTGATTTCTTTCATCAGTGTTTTATAGTTTTCTGTGTATAGGTCTTTTGTTTCTTTAGGTAGATATATTCCTAAGTATTTTATTCTTTTTGTTGCAATGGTGAATGGTATTGTTTCCTTAATTTCTCTTTCTGTTTTCTCATTGTTAGTGTATAGGAATGCAAGAGATTTCTGTGTGTTAATTTTATATCCTGCAACTTTACTATATTCATTGATTAGCTCTAGTAATTTTCTGGTAGAGTCTTTAGGGTTTTCTATGTAGAGGATCATGTCATCTGCAAACAGCGAGAGTTTCACTTCTTCTTTTCCTATCTGGATTCCTTTTACTTCTTTTTCTGCCCTGATTGCTGTGGCCAAAACTTCCAAAACTATGTTGAATAGTAGTGGTGAGAGTGGGCACCCTTGTCTTGTTCCTGATTTCAGGGGAAATGCTTTCAGTTTTTCACCATTGAGGGTGATGCTTGCTGTGGGTTTGTCATATATAGCTTTTATTATGTTGAGGTATGTTCCTTCTATTCCTGCTTTCTGGAGAGTTTTAATCATAAATGGATGTTGAATTTTATCAAAGGCTTTTTCTGCATCTATTGAGATAATCATATGGTTTTTATCTTTCAATTTGTTAATGTGGTGTATTACATTGATTGATTTGTGGATATTAAAGAATCCTTGCATTCCTGGGATAAAGCCCACTTGGTCATGATGTATGATCTTTTTAATATGTTGTTGGATTCTGTTTGCTAGAATTTTGTTAAGGATTTTTGCATCTATGTTCATCAGTGATATTGGCCTGTAGTTTTCTTTTTTTGTGGCATCTTTGTCTGGTTTTGGAATTAGGGTGATGGTGGCCTCATAGAATGAGTTTGGAAGTTTACCTTCTGCAATTTTCTGGAAGAGTTTGAGTAAGATAGGTGTTAGCTCTTCTCTAAATTTTTGGTAGAATTCAGCTGTGAAGCCATCTGCTCCTGGGCTTTTGTTTGCTGGAAGATTTCTGATTACAGTTTCGATTTCCTTGCTTGTGATGGGTTTGTTAAGATCTTCTATTTCTTCCTGGTTCAGTTTTGGAAAGTTATACTTCTCTAAGAACTTGTCCATTTCTTCCAAGTTGTCCATTTTATTGGCATAGAGCTGCTTGTAGTAGTCTCTTATGATCCTTTGTATTTCAGTGTTGTCTGTTGTGATCTCTCCATTTTCATTTCTAATTTTGTTAATTTGGTTCTTCTCCCTTTGTTTCTTAATGAGTCTTGCTAATGGTTTGTCAATTTTGTTTATTTTTTCAAAAAACCAGCTTTTAGCTTTGTTAATTTTTGCTATGCTCTCTTTAGTTTCTTTTGCATTTATTTCTGCCCTGATTTTTAAGATTTATTTCCTTCTACTAACCCTGGGGTTCTTCATTTCTTCCTCCTCTAGTTGCTTTAGGTGTAGAGTTAGGTTATTTATTTGACTTTTTTCTTGTTTCTTGAGGTAGGCCTGTAATGTTATGAATCTTCCCCTTAGCACTGCCTTTACAGTGTCCCATAGGTTTTGGGTTGTTGTGTTTTCATTTTCATTCATTTCTATGCATATTTTGATTTCTTTTTTTATTTCTTCTATGATTTGTTGGTTATTCAGAAGCGTGTTGTTTAGCCTCCATATGTTTGAATTTTTAATAATTTTTTTCCTGTAATTAAGATCTAATCTTACTGCACTGTGGTCAGAAAAGATGACTGGAATGATTTCAATCTTTTTGAATTTACCAAGACTAGATTTATGGCCCAGGATGTGATCTATTCTGGAGAAGGTTCCGTGTGCACTTGAGAAAAAGGTGAAGTTGATTGTTTTGGGGTGAAACGTCCTATAGATGTCAATTAGGTCTAGCTGGTCCATTGTGTCCTTTAAAGTTTGTGCTTCCTTGTTCATTTTCTGTTTAGTTGATCTATCCATAGTTGTGAGTGGGGTATTAAAGTCTCCTACTATTATTGTGTTACTATTAATTTCCTCTTTCATACTCGTTAGCGTTTGCCTTACATATTGCGGTGCTCCTATGTTGGGTGCATATATATTTATAATTGTTATATCTTCTTCTTGGATTGATCCTTTGATCATTATGTAGTGTCCATCTTTGTCTCTTTTCACAGTCTTTATTTGAAAGTCTATTTTATCTGATATGAGTATTGCGACTCCTGCTTTCTTTTGGTCTCCGTTTGCGTGGAATATTTTTTTCCAGCCCTTCACTTTTAGTCTGTATGTGTCCCTTGCTTTGAGGTGGGTCTCTTTTAGACAGCATATATAGGGGTCTTGCTTTTTTATCCATTCAGCCAGCCTTTGTGTTTTGGTTGGGGCATTCAACCCATTTACATTTAAGGTAATTATTGATAGGTATGGTCCCGTTGCCATTTATTTTGTTGTTTGGGGTTCACGTTTATACCACCTTTCTGTGTTTCCTGTCTAGAGAAGATCCTTTAGTATTTGTTGAAGAGCTGGTTTGGTGGTGCTGAATTCTCTCAGCTTTTGCTTGTCTGTAAAGCTTTTGAGTTCTCCTTCATATCTGAATGAGATCCTTGCTGGGTAGAGTAATCTAGGTTGTAGGTTATTCTCTTTCATTACTTTAAGTATGTCCTGCCATTCCCTTCTGGCCTGAAGGGTTTCTATTGATAGATCAGCTGTTATCCTTATGGGAATCCCTTTGTGTGTTATTTGTTGTTTCTCCCTTGCTGCTTTTAATATTTGTTCTTTGTGTTTGATCTTTGTTAATTTGATTAATATGTGTCTTGGGGTGTTTCGCCTTGGGTTTATCCTGTTTGGGACTCTCTGGGTTTCTTGGACTTGGGTGGCTATTTCCTTCCCCATTTTAGGGAAGTTTTCAGCTATTATCTCCTCGAGTATCTTCTCATGGCCTTTCTTTTTGTCTTCTTCTTCTGGGACTCCTATGATTCGAATGTTGGGGCGTTTCACATTGTCCCAGAGGTCCCTGAGGTTGTCCTCATTTCTTTTGATTCTTTTTTCTTTTTTCCTCTCTGCTTCATTTATTTCCACCATTTTATCTTCTAACTCACTTATCCTATCTTCTGTCTCTGTTATTCTACTCATGGTTGCCTCCAGAGTGTTTTTGATCTCATTTATTTCATTATTAATTTTTAATTGACTTTTTTTTATTTCTTCTAGGTCCTTATTAAACATTTCTTGCATCTTCTCAATCTTTATCTCCAGGCTATTTATTTGTAACTCCATTTTGTTTTCAAGATTTTGGATCATTTTTATTATCATTATTCTAAATTCTTTTTCTGGTAGATTCCCTATTTCCTCCTCTTTTGTTTGACTTGGTGGGCTTTTTTCATGTTCCTTTAGCTGTTGGGTATTTCTCTGCCTTTTCATCTTGTTTGGATTGCTGTGTCTGGAGTGGGCTTTCTGTATTCTTGTGGTCTGAGGTTCCTTTTTATTGTGGAGGTTTCACCCAGTGGGTGGGGTTGGACGATTGGTTTGTCAAGGTTTCCTGGTTAGGGAAGCTTGTGTCAGCGTTCTGGTGCGTGGAATTGGATTTCTTCTCTCTGGAGTGCAATGGAGTGTCCAGTAATGAGTTTTGCGATGGATCTGTGTTAGGTGTGACTTTGGAGAGCCTGTATGTTGACACTCAGGTCTATGTTTCTGCGTTGCTAAAGAATTTGCATGGTATGTCTTGTACTGGAGCTTATTGGCTCTTGGGTGGTGGTTGGCTTTGGTGTAGGTATGGAAGCTTTTGGATGGTCTCTTATTCCTTAATGTTCCGTGTAGTCAGGAGTTTTCTGGTTTTCTCAAGATTTGGGCTTAAGTCTCCTGCCTCTGGATTTCAGTTTTGTTCTTCCAATAGTCTCAAGACTTCTCCAACTATACAGCACTGATAATAAAACTTCTAGGTTAATGGTGAAAAGATTCTACACTGTGAGAGACAACCAGACAGGTTCACAGAGTTACATGAAGAATAGGAGAGGGAGGAAGGAGATAGAGGTGATCAGGAGGAGAAAAAGGGGACTCAAGAGGAGAGAGACAGATCTACGCAGTTATCTGTTCCCAAAGTGTTCTCCGTAGCCCAGACACCCACAAAGATTCACAGAGTTGGATTGGGAAGAGAAGGGGAAAGGAGGAAATAGAGGTGTTCCGAGGTAGAAAACAGAGAGTCAAAGTGAGAGAGTAATCACCACACTCCTGAATAGAAATGGGAACTGAATATTGGATTCTTAAATGACCAAAATTTATATCACATACTACTGAAAAACAAAGATTAAAAATCTAGTGTAGAGGTTAGACTCTTTGAAATACAATATTTAAAAACAAAAACAAAAAAAAATTTAGAAATGTATATGAAGTTTGATTTAAAAATAGGGTTTCTCTCTCTTTTTTTTTTTTTTTGGCAAGGTTATAGTGAAATGAAAATGAAAATTAAGGAATAATAGAGGAGTATTAGAGGACTTTAAAAGGAAATAGGAGAGAAAAACAAGAAAGAAAAAAAAAATTTTTTTTTCCCTAATTAAAAAAATCGTAGAAATATATGAAAATGAAAGTTGAGGAGTAATGGGGGAGTAATGGGGAATTTTAAGAGAAAATAAAAGAGAAAAAAAAAAAAGGATAGAAAAAAAAATTTTTTTTTAAATTAAAAAAAAAATATATATATATATATATCTAGGAATTTCTCTGGAGTTGTTGCAGTCAGCATAGGTTCAGTTCAATTTCAGATAGCTCCTCTTTCCAGCTTACACTTCTCGATATCTGTAGGCCCCTTCTGGTGTAGTTGGTGTTACCTTCAGGGATTTTAATCTGTTTCACCGGTCCTTTCTGAAGCGGTTCCCTTTGTTTATTTGGCTTCTGTTTGCCGTCTCTTCAGTGTCTAATTTCCGCCCTGACACAGGCTGGCGGAGGTGATCTCTTATTTAGGTTCACTAGTTCAGTTCAGTCCTGCTACGGGGAGGGCGGGGCGCTGCAGACAGATACCGCTCTGTGTGGATAGCACTAACCCTGTTCCGGCCACACTGGGTTTGCCCCGCTCACGGGTGTCAGTGCTTTCCCCGTCTACACTGCTCAGGCTCCCGGCTGCTCTATATGGAGCGGGCCCTGCGTTGAGTGCGGTTCCAGTTTTCGGGTACTCCACAAAAGCGCAGATTCGGTTGCGCCTACGTTTTGTGCCTTCCCCGGCCTGAGCGGTTCAGGCAGCCAGAGGCTTGAGCGTACTCTCCCTGGGTATGGCACGCCTTTTCCCTCCGCGTTGAGGGGCCCAGGCAGCCAGAGGCTTGGGCGCACTTTCCCCGGAGGCGGCGCTCCTTTTCCCTCCGCAGCGGGCAGCTCAGGCAGCCAGAGGCTTGGGCGCAATCTCCCCGGGTACGGCGCGCTTTTTCCCTCCGCGGCCCCAGCGCGCGCGTCGCCAGTCGGGTCTCAGGAAGTCTTAGATAGGAACCGGGGGCCTGTTTGCAGTGTGGGAGGGGGTGGCTTCTCAGGGGCTAAGTTTGCCCTTTTCCCTACCCCCTGCCTCCAACCTCCAGCGGGGATGGGCCGGCTCTTCTCTGGACTTTCTCAGTCCCTTTGTTTTGCGAACCGCCGGCAGTGTGTTCGGGCCCTAAGCAATGCCGCCCGCTCCTCTCCGTTCCGCCCCCGCTTGTTGCTGGCGGGTACGGGCGTCTGGGGTACTTCTCTGCTGGGAGTTGCTTCCAGGCACGTAATCTGTGGGCCTTGTTTAATTTTTCCTCCCAGTTAGATTGCTGAAAACTTCCCCCAGTCCTGCCAGTGCGAGGGTTTCCTGGTGATTGGAAACTTCCTCTATTAAGACTCCCTTCCCGGGACGGGTCTCCGTCCGTAGCTCTTTTGACTCCCTTTTTATCTTTTATATTTTGTCCTACCTCCCTTCGAAGACAATGGGCTGCTTTTCTGGGCGCCTGATGTCCTCTGCTAGCGATCAGAAGTTGTTTTGTGCAATTTGCTCAGCATTCAAATGTTCTTTCGATGAATTTGTAGGAGAGAAAGTGGTCTCCCCGTCCTATTCCTCCGCCATCTTGGCTCCTTCCTAATACAAATATTTTTAAGCCACAATAGAGAATATTTTTAAAATGGGATCATTTTGGGATAGTACATTTTGGACCACAGTGTTTTAAAGATTTAAAATTTATCACTATAAAAAAATTATTGGAGAGCTTTCCAATGGTTAAGACTCCATGTTTCCACTGCAAAGGGCACAGGTTCAGTTCCTGGTCAGGAAATTAAGACCCCACATGCTGTGTGGTTCAGCCAAAAACAACCACAAAAATTATTGGTATCAAAAATACATTTCAGATTATATATTTTAAACTTTTCTATCTATTTGGTAGATGATACCGAACTACTATTGCCACTTAAATTCCTGTTCTTTTAAAGAGGAAATTTTGTGTTTAAAAAAAATTTTTTTAAACAAAATCCAGTTGCTTCATTTTGATGTTAATATTAGAAGTGCTTGCGTTTAACGGTAAGGTTTTATTATAAAGATAATTTAGTTTTTTAAGTATGTTCTTCAGTGAAGGTCTAAAATCTTAAATTTTATATTTTAGATGGATAATTCTTTAGATGTTTAAATGTTTGATACTCCTCAATATATCACATTCAGCTTGCATTTGGTATTTTTCTTCCAGTTCAAATTTTACTTTCATTATATTTAGAAATATGAAACATTTTTCTTTCTTCTCTTGCACTATTCCTAATTTTCTGTTCTCTTTCTTTTCTTCTTTGAAGTAAAAATGTACCTAAAATTTTATGTTTTGAAAGTATGTTATTAGAAATAAAAGCTTTTAAAACATTTGTTATTTTATATAATCCATCTTCAAAAGGAGGTAAAGAGATTTTGATGTCTGGAAGACTTCCCTGTGTCACAATAGTTATCTTACAGCAACTTTTTCTAATTTTTATAGTCCAGCAAACTAAAGCAGAAGTTGGAAGCTCATATGTAAGTAAAACTGATAACTTCATTTCAAATGTTAGAGGGGAAGGATTTTATTGTAAAATGTTATTAATACCATTTTCTGATTTTGTTTATAAAAAATAAAAACCCTGATGCAACTGAATGTTCAGCACTGTCACCAAAATGTGAAAAGAAAAACATGGTAAAAGAGTCAACCTGCCTGCTCACGATCCCGAACTCCTAAACTTTTCAATTGCTAGTGTCATTTGAAGAATTTACAAAATAGACAACAATCATAACTAGATCATGTGGAAAGGAAAAGTGAAAGTGTTAGTCTCTCAGTCATGTCCAACTCTTTGTGACCCCACGGACTGTAGCCTGCCAGGCAGTGTGGGGTGTTTAACCCGTGAAATATTTATTTTAACTTTCTTAGGTAAGTTAGGGTGGCCGGGGGAAAAAAATGAAAATTTTTGCCATTCACCATGTGTCAGGCAGTTTACATCCTCACAACCATCCCTTAGGATACTTGCCAGGTATTATTACCATTTCACAGATGAGGAAACTATGGATCAGAAAGTGACTTGTCCATAGTCCACAAATGTGATATGGCAGAAACCAGTTTTCATTCTTAGGTCTCTCTGACTCCAAACCTCCATGCTCTTTCCATTACTTAGGGAAAAACTAACAGAGGTCCATGAAGAACTACAGAAGAAACAAGAGCTCATTGAAGACCTCCAGCCAGATGTAAACCAGAATGGTAGGTTTTTGTAAAAACCTGAATCAGACTTTATCTAAAGACTTGCCTTAAAAAAAAAAAAACCAAAACTTACCTTTTTAGTTGAAGAATGCTAGAACTGTGCATATTAGTCTTTGGGCAATGCAAAGATAAATATGTTGCAAATAAAAATCATTAATAATTTTCAGTGATTTAAATAATAAATGAGTATATCTTAAAGCAAAAAGTAAATCTGCAAAATAAACTGAATGATATATAGGAGTATCAAACATTGTAAAATGTAATAGAATTAGTAATATAGAAGTGTAAATAAAATTTGTAATCAGTTTAAAATGAACTTCAAATATGTAGAAAGAACATTTTATTTTGTGATGGTTGTGCTTAAATTATAAGCTGTATTTGCTCATTGAAATACTTGCTAGAAAGGAGAAACATGGCTTGGTAATGCAGATTATTGATATTTTTAAGAAAAAATAATACAAAATGAACAGGGATGTCTTGTGTGTAGTTCAAAAGTTTTAGAGAAGAATTCACTATAAAGAAGGAATAAAAGATTTCTCTTTATCAGTCTTTAGAAAATACATGTAATCTTTTTATGTGAGGAGGGAGTATTTCAAATTGGTCATGTCTCTTTTTTTTTTTTCAACAACAGTACAAAAGATCAATGAGCTTGAAGCTGCTCTTCAGAAGAAAGATGAAGATATGAAAGCAATGGAGGAAAGATACAAAATGTACTTAGAGAAAGCAAGAAATGTGAGTGGCTTGTCTTCCAGCATTTTAGTCTTTGTGACTTGGTTCTAATGGGGTCTATACCCACCTTCATGGATCTATGTCACATTGCTTTGCTCCTCACCACCCTGCCTTGTCAGTCAGGTCCCTATTTACAGGGCAGACATATTAGCAGTATTTTAAGGCTCTGCATAAAATTATCTTCTTTTATTCAGTAAATAGAAACAGGTGCAATAACTGCACATGACTTCATAGGGACAGTTTAAATGTTGTAGTAACCTCACTGGAGAAAATGACTACTGTAAGTAATATAATCTTTAGCTCTTACAATTAACATTTGCTGTTTTGAAAACTTGTTTAAATTGTTTTAGCATTGTCTGTGTTAGACAACTAAAGACTAGTCTACTGTCCACCAGACTATTCTTTTCCTTATTTCATACTTTTTCTTAAATATTTCTAAGTACTGTTTTCATAAAATCTTTTATTTCCATGAATATATATTCTTCATTAACTCTAAGTATTTTCAAAGAATGTTATTGTACCTGCAGCAGCAGGTAAACCCCATGACCTCAAGGCTTAACAAGGTAAAGGTTTACTTCTTGATCAGTGCGGGAGTGGCTCTCTACTCCACGCAATCATGCAGAGTCCCAAGCTGATGGAGGCTCCACCTTCTTCAGTATGGAGTTCTCAGATTCACTGGACATTGTCCAACTGTGTACTGGGAAAGACAGCCAAGATTGCATGGGAGATACTCAATGGATCAGGTGTAAACCACTTTCCTCTCATTTCATTGGGCAGAACTCAGGCATGTGGCTGCTCCCAACTTCTAGGGAGGCAGGCTTGTGAAACATCCAGGCAGACTGCCACAGTTCAGTGTCTCCTTTACAAAAGTATAAATGCTTTCAGTGAAAATATATTGTAAGGTTCCCAGAGACAACTGCTTATAACTTTTTGGTATATTTTCTTAACAGTGCATTTTTTTCAATGCCTATTATCTCTGTGATTGTTTACCATAATACAGACACACACTTAGTTTGTATGATCATAAAACATATGATTTGTGATCATATGGTTTGTATTTTTAAACTTAATGTTCTCATGTTATATAGATGTAATTTAATATTTAATGTTATGCTAAGTACTGGGAATGCAGCAGCAAAGAAGACACTTTGTATATGAAGCAGACTACAAAATAAAAGACTCCCTAGGTGATATTCTTTCAGTTGAGTAGATGTGTCATAGTTTACCTAGTCGACGTCCTATTGTTGGGAAAATTTTGTTTCCATGTCTTTTTCTTTTTTACTCCTAAAAATAAGGCTACAGACAGCATATTTATATAGAAAGTTTTCCCCCTTATTTTGGTTTATTGTCTTAATCTCATTCCTAGGTTTATCTATCAAACAAAATTATTAGGTCAAAATATAAGAACATTGTTAAGATGCTGGAAATAATATTCCAAAAGTATTATAACTACTTAGACAAAGCAGTGACAATGAATCCCATGTTCTTGCCATCATCAAATATTGTCATTGAAAAAACAGCTTCTTTTTTGGTAAATATGATTTTGTGTTTTCCCTTATGCTACTTCAGGGCAGAGGTTAAACTAGTACCATGTGTATATAATAGGAAACTCAGAAAATATAAAAAAGTCACAACCATACTTTTAGCACTTAGAGGCAATAAACTCTTATGTGTTCTTTGTAATTAAATTGTGATTTAAACACTAATATGTCTGCTTTTATAATGTGTACTTCATATGGGAGTGTCCCCAGACTCTGGTGAACTGTTGTAGTCCCATCTGCCATAGTGCCTGCCGCATTTAGTGCTTAGTAAATTGTTTTGAATGAACCACAGTAATTTTTAGGGATATTACCTTCTAGTCTTGTTTTCCGTAACTTCTGTAAACATAGATGAAATTTTCTGAATTCATTAAATTTTCAGTTCAGTTGCTTAGTCGTGTCCAACTCTTTGCAACCCCATGGACTACAGCACAGCAGGCTTCCCTGTCCATCACCAACTCTTGGAGCTTGCTCAAGCTCATGTCCATCAAGTCAGTGATGCCATCCAACCATCTCATCCTCTGTCATCCCCTTCTCCTGCCTTCAGTCTTTCCCAGCATCAGGGTCTTTTCCAGTGAGTCAGTTCTTTGCATCAGGTGGCCAAAGTATTGGAGTTTCAGTAAATTTTAAATCCTTTAAAATAGTTTTGTAATTAGATCAAACAGATGACATTATTATTGGAAACTTGTTTTTGCTTGTAATTAACACCTGATGTTTCTGAGTTGATTTCCCGCCATAGTAGGAAACCACCTCATAAACTAGGTGACCACCTAGTTGGTTCACTCTGAGCAACATCTGGTCAAACTGTTTCTACTCAACTTATAGTAATTTACATAGATATAATTGAGTACTCTAGAATTTACACACAAAATCATCAATGTCTATTATATTGATCTTATGTATTGAATTACATTTAACTAGATAATGGTGATAAAAAAGATTATTGCTAAGAAATTTCTGTTACTCTTAACCATGTACATTCAGCAGATTGTATAATTATTGAATTGATTTTAATTAAACTTTAAAAATTTTTTTAAATTTATCTAAGTCAAATAAATGTTTAAAAGGGTTATTTCAAGGCTTGAGTGTTCAAAGCTTTATAAAGCTAAGTAACTATTTCTGAGTACTGTGTCTTGAAGAAAGGAAATTTGATTTGGGAATGTGTATCTTCATATTTTTAATATTGAATTTCTTTAGAATGTTATTTTTATTTTTCAAGTTAGACTATAAAATAAGCTATAGTTAACTCAGATCACTTTCTGGATAATGTTTCACTTTATTTACACTGATTTTATAGACTGTGTTCATATTTCAGTATTTGACAAAGTAAACGTAAGAGATTTGTTTTTTTTTCCTTTAAACAGGTAATAAAAACTTTAGATCCCAAATTAAATCCAGCATCAGCTGAAATAATGCTACTTAGAAAGCAGTTGGCAGAGAAAGAGAGAAGAATTGAGATTCTGGAGGTAAAATTTCCATATTCATACATCTCCTCTTAATTCTGTATAATCCTGATGATTAACTGCTGCCAGCATTTTCCATTAATGATCAAGTTTCACAAGCACTTAGGAGAGCAGCACACTTCAGCCCTCAGTGTGGGTATTACAGAGCATCTCACTGGCCCACGAAACGGGCCTTTCCAAGCCTGTGTGCCCTGCCTCATTGTATGTCTCTCCGTCGGTAACAGCCAGTCATATAGCCTGTCCTTCTTTCTAGTAGAGTTCTGCTATCATGCTCCTTTTAAAATGTCAAAGGATGGATGAGAGTTCACTTTTTTAAAAAAAAGAAACAAAGCTTATCTTTTTAAACAGGTACTGTACTCAGTTAACCAGATTCTTCTTCCCTTTTCTTCTCCATGTAAGTCAGCTAGGAAGGTTGTGTTTTAGGGAAGTATGTTCATCATTTTCTTCATGTTATTTCTGAGCCGTTAGAGTGTGGTAAAAATATTTAAAGTCTTGAAGACTTTAATATCCTGCGTGTACACCAGCCTTATGGTGGCACTTGCTATAAATGCTTGTCCAGGCCATGTCAGGCATTGTAAAAAGTACTGGATAGAGGTATCTCTCAGGAGAAATAACTCTTCCTTCTTCAGGATCCAGTTTCAATATCTCCTCTTTTATAAAGCTCTCCATGTATGTCTTAGGCACAGTTAGTGATCTCTCCATAGTGACTCCATGTACTTTGAACTCATGAATTCATTCCATAATAGCACCTTTCTTTGTGACATGTGTTAGAGTGTCTTGAGGACAGGGGCTGTATCTTATATCTCTGTATTGCAGCATTCAGTATCACAGAAATCAGAGGCCAAGGTTACAGCTTTAGTGTTAATGTGTGTTAAGGTTACCACCTTCCTTTCTAATCTTCAGTCTCTTCATCTGTAAAATAATGGGACTTGAACTGAATGATTGCTGAACTCTTAAGTCGCTCAGATTATTCACGTCCCAGTGAAAGCCAATGAGCAGGTACACCAGTGTCATTGCTTGACATGCAGCTCCTTAACAGCTGTGATGATAAAACTGCACCTCTAATACAGGGCTCTGAGGAAGTATTCAGTTAAGACCCTGCATATGGACTTTTAATTTATGGATACGTATTTATACACACTGCAGAAGTAAAGAGGAGAAAGCTAGTGTTTATAGCAGAGGTTATTCTATCTGCATCCTTCTTGGGCAGTTCTCCTGGAGTGCATGTGATCCAGAAGAGCATCTTATCTCCTTTGTTTCCTGTATGCTTTTTGTTTCATGAGCATCTGTAGGAACATTCAGATGTTTTAGATTATAACATTTTATGTGAGTCAGCTATATCTGATGCTCAACAAAATTACAAAATCCACTGTACTAGAATAATTAAGAAATGAATGTCAGTCTCTAGGGTGGCACACAGATAGGGCCACAGCCAGTCTAGTATACAGTCACCAAGGACTGAGACAGAACAATTGAGGCTTAAGCTTTAAAGGAAATTTTAAAAGATTTTTTGGGTTATTTTTCCCCACATCCCTTTTCTCCTTAGTTTTGACTCCTCCACAGGTGCAGCTCTGTTTTGTCACTGAAGCCAGTGGTTACTTTTTTCTCTAGATAGAATCACTCAGTTTTTTTTTTTTCTTTTTCTTTTTTATTTTTTCCATTTGTTTTTATTAGTTGGAGGCTAATTACTTTACATCATTTCAGTGGTTTTTGTCATACATTGAAATGAACTAGCCATGGATTTACATGTATTCCCCATCCCGGTCCCCCCTCCCACCTCCCTCTCACCTGATCCCTCTGGGTCTTCCCAGTGCGCCAGGCCCAAGCACTTGTCTCCTGCACCCAACCTGGGCTGGTGATCTGTTTCACCCTAGATAATATACAAGTTTCGATGCTGTTCTCTTGAAACATCCCACCCTCGCCTTCTCCCAGAGTCCACAAGTCTGTTCTATACATCGGAGTCTCTTTTTCTGTTTTGCATATAGGGTTATCGTTACCATCTTTCTAAATTCCATATATATGTGTTAGCATACTGTAATGGTCTTTATCTTTCTGGCTTACTTCGCTCTGTATAATGGGCTCCAGTTTCATCCATCTCATTAGAACTGATTCAAATGAATTCTTTTTAATGGCTGAGTAATATTCCATGGTGTATATGTACCACAGCTTCCTTATCCATTCGTCTGTTGATGGGCATCTAGGTTGCTTCCATGTCCTGGCTATTATAAACAGTGCTGTGATGAACATTGGGGTGCACGTGTCTCTTTCAGATCTGGTTTCCTTGGTGTGTATGCCCAGAAGTAGGATTGCTGGGTCATATGGCAGTTCTATTTCCAGCTTTTTAAGAAATCTCCACACTGTTTTCCATAGTGGCTGTACTAATTTGCATTCCCACCAACAGTGTAAGAGGGTTCCCTTTTCTCCACACCCTCTCCAGCATTTATTGCTTGTAGACTTTTGGATAGCAGCCATCCTGACTGGTGTGTAATGGTACCTCATTGTGGTTTTGATTTGCATTTCTCTGATAATGAGTGATGTTGAGCATCTTTTCATGTGTTTGTTAGCCATCTGTATGTCTTCCTTGGAGAAATGTCTGTTCAGTTCTTTGGCCCATTTTTTGATTGTGTCATTTATTTTTCTGGAATTGAGCTGGAGGAGTTGCTTGTATATTTTTGAGATTAATCCTTTGTCTGTTGCTTCGTTTGCTATTATTTTCTCCCAATCTGAGGGCTGTCTTTTCACCTTGCTTTTAGTTTCCTTTGTTGTGCAAAAGCTTTTAAGTTTCATTAGGTCCCATTTGTTTATTTTTGCTTTTATTTCTAAAATTCTGGGATGAGAATCACTCAGTTTTTGTTGTTATTGTTCAATATCTGTTCTCCTAGTAAAGTTCCTAGATTTTATTAGTCAGTCTTACTCTTTCCTGAAGGTGTTGGGCATGTACTGTCCATGATTCAACTTTACATTTTGTCTGCTGTATGTGCCTCCCAGCACATTATTCACATTCTCTTGATCATAAGCATAATGAAAAAAGTATCCATTTTTAGCAGTTTGGGTTTATGTCTAGGATTTTAAATAGTCCTTGTATCTTTTTCCAGAGTGAATGTAAAGTAGCAAAATTCCGTGATTATGAAGAAAAACTCATTGTTTCTGCCTGGTATAATAAGGTGAGTTGAAATTTAGCCAGTGATTAGATGTCTTGAACCGTGCTTATCAAACATTTTGACCATGAACCATGGAAAGAATTAGTACAAATTAGAACATGTACAAGTTAGTACTTGTTCACATTTATGCATAATTGAACACAGTTACCCTGACTCTGTGTGTCACACTCAGGTATTTTGTTGTATGCTCTTTTATTAAAAGAAAAAAAAAACTGGTCATAATCCAGATTTACTTTATATTTTATTTTAATGTCTTTAGTTGATTCTGACTTTTTCAAAACCACTAAATCGATTTCAATACTCAGCAACCTTTAAATTAATGTACATGAAGCATTCATTCAATTCATAAACATTTTTAAAATTGCCTCATTTGAGCTAAAGCAGTTAATATGTTCTTCATAAAGGGTTTCTGTGGAAATAAAAATATCTGTATAATGCAAAATTAAGTGTTACTAGTGCTCAGCATTTAATATCCGTAAAGCTGATCTCAGTATGTCCTTTATTGTATTTAATTCTTGTAGTCCAGACACTGCTCTTCAAGAATTGTCTGTCTGTCCTAACAAAGAAAATAGTATAAAATAATTTGAAACACATTTTATTTTGTCATCCTTAGTGGAATGTTTTCAAGAGTAGCATTTCTTGATGTATATGGTTCTTTTGGGTATTCTAACCAGCTAGCATAGATGATAACACAGCCATTATCTACCTTAGCTACTGTGTATCTGTGTATTTATTGATAGTATGAGTGAATTTTGGACTCTCCACCTGTGAAGCCTGTACTTCATCACGTGGAACTGGTTAATCCTTCCTCAGACATGCCTTCTTCTTTCATGCCATCATACTTTTTGTCTGTATTCTTTCCCTCCCTCCTCTGTTTGATAAAGTCTGCCTTAATTTAGCAAGACCTTGAAGGAAATTGTGTAGATGTTCCCAGCACCTTCCCTCATGAGCTATCCATCCTGGTTAAGATCAGAGACGATTTATTATTTTCCTTGTTGCTCTGTGGCCTCTTGACACATAATAAATTAGCAAAGATACTAGAGCCAAATAATGCATTATTTAGTCATTTCTCAGCCTGTGTTTTTTGAGCATTTAAATGGCAACCCACTCCAGTATCCTTTCCTGAAAAATCTCATGGACAGAGGAGCCTGGTGGGCTGCAGTCCATGGGGTCGCAAAGAGTCAGGCACGACTGAGCGACTAACACTTAACGGTAACACTATGTACTGGTTACTACTGAAGCTGTAACTGTGGTATGTGGTCTAGTGAGAGAGGAGTAATGACTTTCCTTAGTAAGGAACACAACAGCCCACAGCTACGGTAATTTGTCATGTACATATTTACAACTAGACCGTAGTAAATTTGAAGTATTCTGTGGTTCTCAAACTTCAGCATGCATCAGAAGACTTGTTAAAATACACTGTTGGACTTACCTGCAGAGGTTCGTAGTCAGTCTAGGTAGAATCCATAAGTATAATTTGCACTTTTAAATTCCCAGTGGTGCAGGTGTTAATTCACAGGCCACATTTCAAGAACCATTGACCTGAGCTATTCTCTTGTGCTGTGTCTGCTCACAGTGGCTGGAATAATGGCCCGACATGAACGTTTGCTTGGAACTTTTTTGTTGTTGTTATAATTAAGCTTAATTCTAGGACATTATTTTAAGCTATTGTTTTTAAAGATTTCAAATGTAATGGATTAAAATAGAGAAACTGGGTTTTATGCCCTGGTTTTCTCCTATCTTAATGGGTATTATCACGTTCAGATTAGCTTCTGAACTCTTATTTTTCTCTATAAAAAGTGAGGAAAACACCCACTTTAGAGGATTGTTTTGAGGATTAAATGACTTTGTATAGGTGGAAAGCGCTTTGCAAACTCTAAATAGTCACGTTGTTTATTTTTGTACAGAGTCTAGCATTCCAGAAATTGGGGATGGAATCTAGACTTGTGAGCAGCAGTGGTGCTTGCAAAGACACGGGGGCCTGTGCTCCCGCCCGGTCTTTTCTAGCACAGCAGCGGCACATCACCAGCACCAGAAGAAATCTCTCTGTTAAAGTTCCTGCTGCGACAACTGATTAAACTGCAAAAGAACACATAAACAGAAGTGCCCTTAAAATATTTTGTATCTATCAACTAACTGCAAGGTTGAAAAGAAGTGTATGTTTCTCATAGCAGCTTTTTAAAAATCAAAATGTATGCAGTTAATCTTGCCAGATTAATATGGAAACAGAATTTGGAAGTAGCTATCTGGGGGAGCACGTGTGAATAATTGGAAGATATAATAAGGTAAACATCTCAAACATTTGTCTTTGGAGAGTATTATATTATTTAAAATTCACTTTGTATATTTTAATGTTCTCAGTTGTAGCAGTAACTAATTTGCAATGTGTTATCAGTTATATGCAATTTAAAACTACTGTTCTGGTCCATATAAAACTAGTGGACAGGTAGGCACATGGAGAACTATATAAGAGTTATATTTTTTTGACAGAAATACACAGATATTACCTCTGACCTCTTTCTGTCATTGAATGGGTATATTTTTATCATGTAGTGGAAAATAACATTTGGAAGATTTGACTATATTGAAATGACTTCTCCATAGTAGAAGTGACTATTTGGAAATGTTGCAGATTTAGACAAGGTCATAGTTCTCATATGTACCTACTATAAACAAAGGCTTCTGTATAGCATGGTTGAAATGTTAAGGGTATGGACTTTGGACTTTAAGAGATGACTTTCTGATGGGAGGCAAGCTGAAAAATATACTTTGTGTGACATGCCCACACTATTTTAATATAATTAATGAAGATTACAATTATTATTGCTTTTAAGCATAAAATTATTATTTTTAAGCGATTAGAGGGCTTCTACTACTAAAAAAAAAGATGAGTTAGTAGTTTACCTCTTCACTGAAAAGAGAGTATACAGTGAAGGGTCAATTTGGAATAAGTTTTACCTTGTTTACTAATTAAGAAACCTATCTTGGGCTGAGTTTATCGTATTTAGTTCTTTTCTGCCCAAAGCTCTTTTTCTCAAAGGTGTTACTCCATTATTTTTAGTCATTTTTAAGAGTCACACTTTGGAATTTTAATTTGAGTAAAATCTGTGCTGTCCAATAATGTAACCAAAAACCACGTGTAGCAAATTGATTAAAATTAAAAATTCAGGTCCTTGGTTGCACTAGCCACATTTCAAGTGCTCAATAGCCACATGTGGCTAATGGCTACAGTACTGGACAGTGCAGATATAAAATGCAAAAACCTCCACTGGACAGTACAGTACTAAATCTTTTTATAAAAGTCTGGAAATACTCAATGTTAGAAGAAAAAGGAGAAAAAAAGAAAAATGTTAGGACGGTATCAAATATGAAAAGGAATTGAATTGTGATGTAAGCAGCGTCTTACATTCCTTTTAGTTGAATACCTTGTGTTGTGACATTCACAGTTAATTTTTCCAGAACTGTTCAACAGTTACAGTACCGATCAGCACATGTCTAGACCAGAGGTCAGCAGACTTTCCATAAAGGGACAGATGGTCGATATTCAGTAAATGTTTTAGACTTTGTGGGCCATTTGATCTTTTGCAAATACTCATCTCAGCTGAAAGTATAAAAGCAGCAGCCATACACAATATGTAAATAAAATAGGCGTGGTTGTATTTCAGTAAAACTTTGCAGAAACTGGCCAGAGTAGGCCAGACTTGGTAGGCTTATAGACCTCTGGTAAAGATTTTATTCTTAGCGTCTTAGACTTCTTTTTTTTTAATTACAAGTATTGTTCCATTTACGGTATTATTCAGATACTTGGTTTTTAGATTCTATACCAGTAAATGTTTCTAATCAGTGAAAATATAAGAATTTCATACTCTATTTGGGTCTCTGAGATTAGGGAGCATCTGCCAGGATATTTTGTTTTATCAGGGTTACTTCTTTTTACTACCTCTTAGATTTTGGTGTTCTTTACTGGTGCAGTTATCTTGTTGGGTTGCATTTTCCTATATTTTTACAGTCTCTGCTTGCCTGTGACTTTTAGTGAAATGAAATATGTCTTTGAAACTATTTTAGCATGCTAATTAAAATTTTCCAGTTATTATGGCATTTTGGTATATTTTGGTCAGTGTAAGACATCTGCTCCTTTAGTGTTTACTACTTGCTTGTAATTGAGATTTCAGAAGCTCTTCAAGCTCCCTTTTAATGAAATCTGTTGTAAAACATCAACTTCAATAAATTAGAATTTTCACAGTTCAATTGCTTATAATTTTCCAGTTATTATATTTGAAATTTCTAAATAATTCATGCAATTTCTAAATAAGGGTGTAAGACTAGATTCTTTTTCCTAAATAGAGAGAAAGCAAATTTTGTGATTTATCACTTTTCTAGTTGATAGAATTTAACATGCTCGATATGTATTTATACTAATAACTTACATAATTTAAAGTTCTGTATTATTGTGATTATCATATGGAAAACCAGGAACTGATCAGAAGTGAGAGTCTTTTCCACATCTGGTTAATATAGTGAGATTGACACCCTGTGGGTGGTAAAGCATTATAAATATTCATCTTGAACCATGATTTTTACATGTTTGTGTTGTGAGGCTTGAGTGCATATTACCAGGGAAGAGAAATTCAGCATTTATCTATTTGATAAGGAAGTGAATGTCCCAGTGATTATAAAGTAAAACCACTTTGGGAATGATCTTTAATTTTCAGCATTTTCTCTAAGATTAATAATTCCTTTACCTTTTTAAAATAAAAGTGTGTACACATATGACAATGTTTATCCTCTGCTTAATGTAATGCAAAATATTTGAAGTTCATTGTATTTTTTCAATGAAGACTGTTGAACTAACGATTTAAGATACATTAAGAATTAATGTCTTGTCTAGAAACATTAAACTGAGAATCCCTTGCTAAGATATCATCATCTTTGACAACTGGAGTGCTAAGTTGAATGTCAAATAATACTTCTACTTCTATACCTGTTTCTACACTATCTGGCCCTATGGGATGGCTTTTAGGCCACAATATTATCTGTGTTAGGTTCTCTGTATGTGTATTTAATGAATAACATTCCTATGTAAAAATGTATGTGGTTTTATGCATACATTCATATTGTGAACCTATACATTGCAAAGAAGTAAATTTTTAAAGCACAACCATAAAAGAAAATAGTGTGCAGTTATTAAACTTGATGTATCTTAAATGTAATTTTTAGTTTGTAAAAGGTTCTTTCTATTTTCTATGGCAAAGACTTTGACACTTAAAAAATAGAAGTGATACTGGATTTATTTTTGTAAGTATTTAAGATATTATTTTAAATAAATGATTGTCCAATATGATAGTTGTCAGATGTTTTAAGTAAATAAACTTTCTGATTCTGTGTCTGATAAGTATTTTTAGTGGGTACAAGTGCACATTTATTTGCTGCTTTAAATAAAAAACTTAAATATTTAGACTGGTAAAGAAAAAATAATTGCACTAATTCTAATTTTGCTTTTCATTTGAATTTTTTTGGTGAATGAGAAGATGTGTAAAAGTGATTTTTGATGTATCATTTTTGTCCCCAATTTGCATTATCATGGACTCTAGAACCTTTTGTTGCTGTTGCAAACTCTGTCGTTTAATATCATTCTTCTCTTCTTTCTTAGTCACAGAGCCCCTACTTTAGCTTGTTACATTTACCAAGGGGGATGCATGGGAAGGAGGTATGGATTAGCCACTTGCCAAATTCCTTTGTGCAGCTTTCCAGGTGGGGCAGTGGGAAAGAATCTGCCTGTTAATGCAGGAGTGCTGGTTTGATCCCTGGATCAGGAAGATCTTCTGGAGGAGGAAAGGGCAACCCACTCCAGTCTTCTAGCCTGGGAAATTCTATGGACAGAGGAGCCTGTGGAGGGCTGCAGTCTGTGGGGTCACAAAGAGTCGGATGGGACTTAGCACAGCACAGCAGATTACCTTGTAAAACTGGGTGGGCCATTTAACTACGTTCTGGCCAAAGAGATGTGAATAATAGTCATGGGTGCCTAGTAAAAGAAAGGGCGCCCTTTCCCTAGTTCTTCCCCCTCCACTCCTTATCTCGAATGCCATGTGCCTGAGGGACAGTGCAGATTAAGAACATTTCCATCATCAAAGAAAATTCTATTGGACAGTTCTACTCTAGATATCTCTGGCTTCCCTGGTACCTCAGTTGGTAAAGAATCTGCCTGCAACGTGGAAGACCCCGGTTTGATTCCTGGGTCGGGAAGATTCCCTGGAGGAGGGTATGGAAACCCACACCAGTGTTCTTGCCTGGAGAATCCCCATGGACAGAGGTGCCTGGCAGGCTACAGTCTGTGGGTCTCAAAGAGTCAGACATGAGTGAGCAACTAAATACAGTGGAGCAGCACAGGAGGAGAGAGAAAGGGGAGGAAAGTTTATTCAAAGAAAGAATAGCTGAAAGCTTCACATACCTGGGAGAAGAAACCGCCATTCAGGTCCATGAATCCTAAAGGATACCAAATAAAATAAGCCCCACACCAAGACACATAATAATCAAATTATTAAAAGGTTAAGCACAGAATGTTGAAACAAAAGAGAAAGTGACTTGTTACGTACAAGGGAAGCCCCATGAAATAAGCAGATTTTTCATCAGAAATCTTGTCCTCTAGAAGGGAGTGTGATAATATATTAAAAATGCTGCATGGGGTGGGGTTGGGGGGGGCGGTGACGGGAACCTGCTAGCCAAGAATACTATATCTGACAAAGCTGTCCTTCAAAAAAGGAAACAAAAGACTTTCTCAGATAAAAGCTGAAGGATATTAAACAACATAAGAACATAAGAAATTATGAAACTCATTGATAAATGTAAATATATAGACAAAAACAGAATTCCATATTACTGTTACAGTGGTGGGAAATCATTTTTCATTCTAGTATAAAAGATTAATTAATGGATACACAATATAAACAGATGTAAGTTGTGACATTACCATATAATGGGGCAGGAGAGAAAAAAACTTTGTTTGCAAGTGAAGCTGTTATCATCTTAAATAGACTGTTACAACTATATTTTCTATAAGCCCCATGTTAACCACCATGTA